TCCTGTTCCAATGAGAGATCCCTGTTATCTAAATTTCTCAGCTGGGTGAGATTACATCTAATCTCAGCAACTTCGGGAGGCCAAGGCAGGAGGATCCCTTGAGCCCAGGAGTTTGACACCAGCCTGGGCGACACAGGGAGATCTCATCTCTACAAAAAATAATTAAAAATTAGCCAGGCGTGGTGGCTCATGCCTGCAGTCTCAGCTACTTGGGAGGCTGCGGCAGGAGAATCACTTGACCCCAGGAGTTTGAGGCTGCAGTAAGCCGTGACTGCACCATTGCACTCCAGCTTGGGTAACAAAATGAGACCCTGCCTTTAAAAATATATATATATATTTTTACATATATATATTTTTTTATATATATATATGTACATTTTTCTGCCAATCCACCAAATTCCCTCTCCTGGCTTTTAAGAACTTGCTCTGTCAACTCTCCCCTCATATTTGCTACCTCTCTCACCCCAACAGCTCTTTCTCATTGATATTTTAACATGTTCATACTTGACAGCTCTTTACAATTCAACCCTCTATTCCTCATCTTTCAGCCTAACATGTCTCCTAATGGCAGAAAGTCTTGTAAGGTTGTACGCAGAGTCCCATTCCTCATCCCTCTGCAGTCTTGACTTCTGCTCCACCACTCCCCTGAAATAGTCTTCATGAAAGACACTGATGACCTACATGTCCCAAATCCGAACCCAAATCTGAAAACCACTTTTTTTTGAGATGGAAGTCTCACTTTGTTGTCCAGGCTGGAGTGCAGTGGCATAGTCACAGTTTACTGCAGCCTTGAACTCCAAGCTCAAGTGATCCTCCTGCCTCAGCCTCCCTAGTAGCTGTGGCTACAGATGCATGCAACCACACTCAGCTTAAAAGCTACATTTTAATCCCTGTTGTATTTGCCTTCTCAGCAGCATTTAACTCTATCAACTGTCTCTTCCTCTGGCCACTCTTCTGGGGAGGAAAGTGACACACACTTTGCTTCCTGGTCTTCACTCTACCACTTCAGTTTCCTTGGCAGACCCCTCCTTTATTCACCTCCTAAATGGGCCTGTTCCTCATGGCTCTATTCTGGGTTAGTTCTCTTTCCATGCCAGAGGCAACGCTGTTTATTCCTATGGCTTTGTCTGCTGGTGACACCCAAATCTATACCAAGACCTGATTCTTGAGCTCCAGGGTCATGGAAACAAAAGCACACATGGTACTTGAACTTGGGGTGTCTTCTATGAGTCCTGTCCTCGTGTCCAACATTGAACATATGCCACTACCAAGCACTACCACTCAAAAAACCCAAGTTCTGCTCTCAGCTCTTCCTCTAACTTCCCCTCACAAAATGGTACTGCAATTGCCTGTTACTCAAGCCAAAAGCCTGGCGTTCGTCATGAATCTTCCTGCCCTGCCCTGCTGTCCTTTTATATCAGTTATCCACTGCTGTGTTGCAAACTGCCCCGAAACGATGGCTTAAGACAATAGCCTTTCTCACAATTCTGAGTTGTCTGGAAAGCTCTGCTGGTCTCTCCCAGCCTGGCTGAAGCAGCTGTCTTATCCCAGCTAGTGTCTGGGCTCAGCTAGGGCTGCTAGGCCTCTCCATGTGGCCTTTCATCTTCACAGTATGGTGGATGGTCTCTGGGCTCCTCCTTTTTTTTTTTTTTCCAGATAGAGTCTCACTCTGTTGCCTAGGCTGGAGTGTAGTGGTGTGATCTCGGCTCACTGCAACCTCTGCTTCCCCAGTTCAAGTGTTTCTCCTGCCTCAGCCTGCCCAGTAGCTGGGATTACAGGTGCCCAACACCATGCCCGGCCTTTTTTTTTTTTTTTTTGTATTTTTACTAGAGACAGGGTTTCATCATGTTGGTCAGGCTGGTTTCGAACTCCTGACCTTGTGATCTGGTTTCTGGGCTCCTTCTAAGAGGAAAGAGCAGAAGTTGCAAGGTCTGTTGAGGCCTGGGCTCAGAACTCTCCCAGTGCCCCTTCTGTCACATTTTTTGGTGAAAGCTAACTACAGGGCCAGCCCAGATCCCACAGGTGGGGAAATAAACTTCATATCCTGGTGGGGGAAGCTATGACGTATCTGTGGCCATCCTTCATAACTATAATTCTACCATCTATTTGGTAAAACCAAATGAAATTGCTACTCTTTGGCCATTTTTGGCCTAAGAAGCAGCACTTTCATATGGCTTAATCGAATACTTTTGGCTGGGCATAGGGGCTCATGCCTGTAATCCCAGCACTTTGGAAGGCCAAGGTGGGTGGATCACCTGAAGTCCGGTTCAAGACCAGCCTGGACAACATGGTGAAACCCCGTCTCTACTAAAAATACAAAAATTAGCTGGGCATGATGGCGCATGCCTGTAATCCCAGCTACTCGGGGGGCTGAGGCACAAAAATTGCTTGAACCCGGCAGATGGAGGTTGCAGTGAGCCGAGATCGCACCACTGCACTCCAGCCTGGGCGACAGAGCAAGACACTGTCTGAAAAAAAATTTTTTTAATAGTTTGGAGTTTGTTTTTTATAGAGACAGGGGTCTCACTATGTTGCCCAGGGTGGTCTCAAACTCCTGGCCTCAAGTGATCTTTCTGCCTTGGCCTCCCAAAGTGCTGGGATTACACGTCAGTCACCCTGTGTAGCCTCAATCTAATACTTCCTGAATTCACCCTGGTCTGGATCACTGTGGTCATCTGGTCCACTACACTAGCTTCCTAGCAGTTGCCTATGCCTCCACTGAGGTTTTCCTGCAGTTCCTTTGTCTCACAGCAGCCAGTAAGATATTTGCCACCTTTGAGTGTGATTACCCCACTCCTGCTGAAGACTCCCAACTCGTTTACATTTTTTCTAAGTGGCATGTGAGGCCCTCCAGATCAGGCACCTACTTAACTCACCCATTCCATTTGCTTCCCAGCTCATACCCTCTGCTCCACCTCCACTATTGCTGGACTTTCCTCAAGTTCCCTTGTACTACTTTCCAGTCGATCCTACTCACCCTATCTCATCCCCAGGCAGCCACTGTTGTGATTTCTATCTCTATAGATTAGATATACCTGTATTGGGCCTATATGAATGGAATCATGCAATATGTACTCTTTTTGTACCTGGGTTCTTTCACGCAATATAATGTCTATGAGATGTCAAATCTCTCCACTTGATCTTGGCCAAGAGGGCGAGAAGCGATAAGATGTCAAATCTCTCATCCATGTTACTGCATGTATTTCATTCCTTTTTATTATTATTATTTTTTGAGACAGAGTCCTGCTCTGTCACCCAGGCTGGAGTGCAGTGGCGCAATCTTGACTCCTGCAACCTCCGCGTACTGGGTTCAAGTGATTCTCCTGCCTCAGCCATTCCCGAGTAGCTGGGATTACAGGTGCACCCCACCATGCCCGGCTAATTTTCTTTTTTTTTTTGAGACAGGGTCTTCCTCTGTCGCCTAGGCTGGAGTGCAGTGGCGCAATCTCAGCTCACTGCAAGCTCTGCCTCCTGGGTTCACGCCATTCTCCTGCCTCAGCCTCCCGAGTCGCTGGGACTACAGGCACCTGCCACCACACCTGGCTAATTTTGTTTTTGTATCTTTAGTAGAGACAGGGTTTCACTGTGTTAGCTAGGCTGGTCTCGATCTCCTGACCTCAGGTGATCCACCTGCCTTGGACTCCCAAAGTGCTGGGATTATAGGCATGAGCCACTGCGCCCGGCCCTAATTTTTGTATTTTTAGTAGAGACGAGGTTTCACCATATTGGCCAGGCTGGTCTCGAACTCCTGACCTCAGGTGATTCACCCGCCTTGGCCTCCCAAAGTGCTGGGGTTATAGGTGTGAGCCACCGCGCCTTGCCCTTTTTTTGATTTTTAATCAACATTATTGAGAGGTATAATTTATATACAATATTTTAAATACACAAGTTCTCATACAAAAATTAGCCAGGGGCGGTGACGTACTGCTATAGTCCCAGCTACCGGGGAGCTGAGGTGGGAGGATCACTTGAGCCTGGGAGATCAAGGCTGCAGTGAGCTGTGAACATTTCACTGTATTCCAGCCTAGGTGACATAGCGAGACCCTGTCTCAAAAAACAAAAACAGTTATTCTTCCTTGGGAACTGCTTATAAAAAAGAAAAAGCAGGCCAGGCACTGTGGCTCACACCTATAATCCCAGCACTTTGGGAGGCCCAGGCAGGCAAGGCCTCCTGGCCTTGAGCTCAGGAGTTCAAGGCCAGCCTAGCCAATGCGGTGAAACCCCATCTCTACTAAAAATACAAACATTATCCGGGTGTGGTGGTGTGTGCCTGTAATCCCAGCTACTTGGGAGGCTGAGGCAGGAGAATCGCTTGAACCCAGGAGGCAGAGGTTGTAGTGAGCCAAGACCCCGCCCAGCCTGGGTAACATCTATAAATAATAGTTCCATGAGTTTAGAAATACAAAGTAGCATGACTTAACAAACTTACACATCTATGTAACCAGGCACCAATCAAGATACAGAATAATTCTATCACGGAGGAAATTCCCTTGTGTCTGGCCCAAACAAACATCCTTCTCCACAGGTAAGCTCTGTTAGTTGTTATCACCATAGATTTCATTTGTCCTATTCTTGAATCTCATATAGATTATACAGTATGTATTTGGTGGTCCCTCAACATAATGACCAAGTGTGGTGGCTCATGCCTGTAATCCCAACACTTTGAGAGGCCAAGGAAGGGGCATCAATGGAATTCAGGAGTTCGAGAGCAGCCTGAGCAATATAATGAAGACCCTCGTCTCTGCAAAAAGTTTACAAGTTAACCGGGCGTGGTGGTGCGGGCCTGTGGGCCCAGCTACCTGGGAGGCTGAGGTGGGAGGTCAAGGAGATCGCACCACTGCATTCCAGCCTGGGTGACACAATGAGACCCTGTCTCAAAAAAAAATTAAAAAAAAAGGTAAGAAAAGAAAAGAGAAAATGCATTGTGTGTTGTATTTATTGGATGATGGAATTATGGGGTTTACGGGCCTTCTGTTGCGTTTTGATTTTTGTTTTCTTACCTGTTACCGCGTTCTTAACAGTAGGCATCACATAGTATTCTCATGGAACTTTCCTTTGTTTAAAGCCTTACAGTTCGGAGACTTACACATTTAAGGTGAGATATGACAGACTTAAAAATAAACTTTGGAGGCCGGGCATGGTGGCTACCGCCTTTAATCCTAGCACTGTGGGAGGCTGAGGCGGGAGGATCACGAGGTTAGCAGTTGGAGACCAGCCTGGTCATCATGGTGAAACCCCGTCTCTACTAAAAATACAAAAATTAGCCGGGCGTGGTGGCGGGCGCCTGTAATCCCAGCCAGTCGGGAGACTGAGGTAGGAGAATAGCCTGAACCAGGGAGGCGGAGGTTGCAGTGAGCCGAGATCGCGCCACTGCACTCCAGCCTGGGACAGAGCGAGACTCCGTCTCAAAAAAATAAATAAATAAAAAATAAAATAAAATAAACGTTGGGTTATTTCAGTGTAAAGTAAGGCAATAAACGGAGGGCTAACAGTTCCACTTCGTAGAGGTCAGGAGTTTTAAAAAGCGAGGAGGCCGCGTCCTGGAAGGGTGACCAAAAAGCGCGAGGTTGCGCACAAAGGGAGAGGCCAGTCCAGAGAGACCCAGCGCCGCGCAGAATAATGATGTCGCACGCCGGGTAGGAACTGACGTCACCTGTGCTCACCGCCGCTTCCGGTCCGCGTGAGGTGCGTTCTCGCGCCGGTGGCGGGCTTGGGGCCGGCGTTGCGACGTGGTGCGGCGCATATTTTCACAAGTGGGTCGCCCTTGGTGGGGACTATGGCCACCGACTCTTGGGCCCTGGCGGTGGACGAGCAGGAAGCGGCTGTCAAGTCGGTCAGTGGCTTCATCTCCAGGCGGGGAGGACGTAGCAGGGGCCCAGGCGAAACCTGCCTAAAGCACAGGGAGCTCCCCGGTTTGGGGAGGCTCCTGGGCAACGCGCTGCTAGAGTTTGCTGGGGCAGTCTCTTGCCCTTGATTTGCTCTTAGAGCTAAAGAGACCAGTGTCGAGCTTTTTATATCCATATGGGCTGGTTAAGGACTTCATCCTTTGGTATATCCGCCCCACTGTGCATGCTGTCATTCCTCCATTGACCTCCTCGGTGACGATGATAAGCCAAGTTTAGATGCTGATTCTCATTTTCATTACGCGACTGTTCTTCGCATGTTTCTGTGCTACTCTGTATTTAACATTTCTTAGATCCATGCTTAACGTGGTTGGCAGTTTGTAGCTCTTTGCAGAATAACAGATTCACTTTTAGATTTAATACCTCAATCTGCAGATGTTGGAAGGAGGCACTACAAATTGTTTCATTGATGTTTAAAGTGACACTTAGTTTCATATACTTGTTCTTTAAGTAATGAATATTCATTCAACTGGAATGTAATTACAGCATACACTGTGCCTTTCTGTTCTTATATCTAAGACCTAAGTTTTAGGTTTGTTTAGTGATAATGGACTGTTTTTTTGTAGTTGTTGTTGTTGTTTTTGTTTTGAGGCGGAGTTTTGCTCTTGTTGCCCAGGCTGGAGTGCAGTGGCGTCATCTCGGCTCACCACAACCTCCACCTCCCGGGTTCAAGCGATTCTCCTGCCTCAGCCTCCTGAGTAGCTGGGATTACAGGCATGCGCCACCACGACTGGCTAATTTTGTATTTTTAGTAGAGACGGGGTTTCTCCATGTTGGTCAGGCTGGTCTTGAACTCCCGACCTCTGGTGATCCGCCCACTTCGGCCTCCCAAAGGGCTGGGATTACAGCCGTGAGCCACCACGCCTAGGCGGTATGGGGATTTTTGAGAGGGCTATTGACAGAATTAGACAAGGCTGGCAAGGATTTACTGAACTACAGAGAACAGAATATGTTACAAGTGATGGCTAATAGAAATATCGGTGTAGAAGTTATTCTGGGCCGGGCGCGGTGGCTCACGCCTGTAATCCCAGCACTTTGGGAGGCCGAGGCGGGCGGATCACGAGGTCAGGAGATCGAAACAATCCTGGCGAACACGGTGCAACCCCGTCTCTACTAAAAAAATACAAAAAAATTAGCCGGGCGTGGTGGCAGGCGCCTGTAGTCCCAGCTTCCCGGGAGGCTGAGGCAGGAGAATGGTGTGAACCCGGGAGGTGGCCGAGCTTGCAGTGAGTGGAGATTGCGCCACTGCACTCCAGCCTGTGCGACAGAGCGAGACTCCGTCTCAAAAAAAAAAAAAAAAAAAAAAAAAAAAAGTTATTCTGATAGATAGAGGGCCTATATGTTGGGCAGTGGAAGTGAAAATGAGGGGATGGATAATGGATATAAGATACAAAGATAGAATGGGTAGGACTTGCTAACATAATAAAGGAGAGAAGGGAGGTAAAGCGAAAGGTTTCTGTTTTCAACTTGGATCCTATTGGTATTACTAACGTTCCAATAACAGGAATACGAAAGTGGGAGGAAGGGCAGATTTGATAAAATGGTGAAGGCAGCCCGGCGTGGTGGCACCCACCTGTGATCCCAGCACTTTGGGAGGCCGAGGCGGGCAGATCAGTCGAGGTCAAGAGTTTGATACCAGCCTGGCCAACATAGCGAAACCTTGTCTCTACTAAAAATACAAAAGTTAGCCAGGCATGGTAGCAGGCGCCTGTAATCCCAGCTACTCAGAAGGCTGAGGCACGAGAATTGCTTGAACCTGGGAGATGGAGGTTGCAGTGAATCGAGATCACGCCACTGCACTCCAGCCCGGGCTACTGAGTGAGACTCTGTCTCAAAAAGAAAAAAAAAAAAGAATGATGAAGGCTGGGCACGGTGGCTCACACCTGTAATCCTAGCACTTTGGGAGACTGAGGCAGGCAGATCAGTTGAACCCAGGAGTTCAAGACCAGTGTGGGCAACATGGTGAAACCCCATTTCTACAGAAATACAAAAAAAAATTAGCTGGGCGTGGTGGTGGCGCACTCCTGTGGTCCCAGTTACTCAGGATGCTGAGGTGAGGATCACCTGAGCCTAGGGAGGTTGAGGCTACAGTGAGCTGTGATCACACCACTGCACTCCAGCATGGGCGACAGTGAGACCCTGTTTCAAAAAAAGAAGAAAGGGAATGGTGAGTTCAGGTTTGGCTGTTCTGAGTTTAAAATAAGGAGACATCTTGGTAAGTACCTGTTGTGGGAGTCCCCAGGAGATGCCAGGTTTGACGATTTGTTAGGAGAGCTCACAGGCTCAGTATGTAGTTGTACTCACAGCTATGATTTATTATAGTGAAAAGATACAAAGCAAAATTAGTGGAAGAAAAAGGCTCATGGGCTAAGTCCAGAGGAAACCAGGCAAACTTCCAAGTTATCTCCCAATGGAGTCCACAGAGTGTGCTTAATTCTTCCAGTAGCAAATTGTAACAGCATGTATGAGGTGGTGTCAGGGAAGCTTGTTAGAGACTACTTGAGGCTTTTATTGGGGGCCTGTCATATAGTTACCCTGTGCCTGGCTTGTACCAGGATTCCAGACTTCCAGAAGGAATGCAGGTGGTTAGCATAAATTACATGTTTTTACAAACAGTTGAGGCAGACTGACCCCCTCTTATCAGTTCTAGGAATGATGGGAACCTTCCCAAAGTCCAAGTTCTCAGGTGACAGCCAAGGGCCAGCCTTGCAAATAGGCTTTCCTAAGGAGAGTGGTCAGGCCTGCTGTGTTCTTTTCTGCACGGTAGCCATCAGGCATTTGGAAATACAGCACTGGAATTCAGAGGAAGGAGCAGGTCAGAGGTATAAAACCAGCAGTTTCCACAAAGAAATTACAAAGCATTATCAAGGGCATGGGCCTTGTACTCTGGAGTTTAAAATCTAGCATTTAGCATCAGATCTACTCTGAAAGACAGTTACAGATAATTGGTTTCAAACCTTGTGAAATCTGTGACCCTAACCTAGCTGTGATATGAATATCACAAATACAGGCCTAAACACACTTGGTGCTGCTTCTAAGCATTCAGCTTATCAGAAGGCTGGTGTAAATAAATGCTTCCTAATAGTTGGAGAATACCTGTTTTTTTACCACTTAGACTTGTGTACCTTCACTTAATAAATGATTCATGGTCTTAGGTTATCATGTGGCTCTGCTCTCTGGAGTAGAGAAAACCAATGAAAGTGACAGAAGAAGCCTGGGTGCAGTGACTCACACTTGTAATCCCAGTGCTTTGGAGGCCAGGGTGGGAGGATTGCTTGAGCCCAGGAGTTCGAGTTTGAGTTCGAGTAGGCATGGTGGTCTACACCCTGTGGTCTCAGCTACTAGGGAGGCTGAGGTGGGACAATCGCTAGAACCCAGGAGGTTGAGGTCACAGTGAGCCATGATTGTGCCGCTGCACTCCAGCCTAGGTTACAGAGTGAGATCTTGTTTCAGAAAATAAATAAATGGAAAGAACTTGAGTTGGGAGATAAGCAGAGTTTGAGGTTTTCTGAAACTTTTCCCCCAACCATTATATTTAGCCCACCCCTTGCCTTGTTTGAAGGCTGTTGAAGATGTTTGAAATGATGGTTTCACACAGACTTTCAGCAGTTCTACTTTCAGGGAACAAACCAATTCCCTCAATACTGGTGCTGAAAGTTTCAGACTAGACTTTTATTAGAAAGTTTCTCTTTTCTTAGGGATCTTCCTTTTATTGGATCCTTTGCTTAACCCTGTTTTCTTTTATTCCTATTCAGATGACCAATTTGCAGATCAAGGAAGAGAAAGTCAAAGCAGATACCAATGGTGAGTCACTAGTAACTACAAGCTAGAAAAGAGTTCCATGTGGGCCGCTGCTTTGCACTCATAGCTGCATTGTACGAAGAGCTGTTATTTAGTGTAACCGTTAGCTGTTTACAAGCCAGTAAATTAGATTTTGTTACTGAAGGGATATGTCAATTTTCCAAAGTTTATCCTTTGACTTCTTTTTTTTTTTTTTTGAGACGGAGTCTCGCTCTGTCGACCAGGCTGGAGTGCAGTGGCGTGATCTCAGCTCACTGCAAGCTCCGCCTCCCGGGTTTACGCCATTCTCCTGTCTCAGCCTCCCGAGTAGCTGGGACTACAAACGCCCGCCACCTCGCCCGGCTAGTTTTTTGTATTTTTTAGTAGAGACGGGGTTTCACCGTGTTAGCCAGGATGGTCTCGATCTCCTGACCTCGTGATCCGCCTGTCTTGGCCTCCCAAAGTGCTGGGATTACAGGCTTGAGACACCGCGCCCGGCCTCCTTTGACTTCTTAAAATTAAGAGTCTCTCTATTGGACTGTACTGCTACTGTTCATTTGATAATATTTTGGCTAATTGTTTATTTATTTTGTTTGAGACGGAGTCTCGCTTTGTTGCCCAGGCTGGAGTGCAGTGGCGTAATCTCGGCTCACTGCAGTCTCTGCCTCCTGGGTTCATGCCATTCTTCTGTCTCAGCCTCCCGAGTAGCTGGGACTACAGGCGCCTGCCACCACGCCCGGCTAGCTTTTTGTTTTTGTATTTTTAGTAGAGATAGGGTTTCATCGTGTTAGCCAAGATGGTCTTGATCTCCTGTCCTTGTGATCCGCCCACCTCGGCCTCCCAACGTGCTGGGATTACAGTTGTGAGCCACTGCGCCTGGCCTAAATTTTTTATTTTTTATATTAGATTTTTAAAACTTTATTTGAGACAGGGTCTCACTCTGTCGTGCAGGCTAGAGTGGAGTGGCATGGTGTGATCTTGGCTTACTGCAACCTTGTCACCCAGGCTCAAGAGATCCTTCCACCTCACCTCCCAGGTAGTTGAGACTACTGGTGTCCACCACCACACCCGGCTAATTTTTTATATTTTTAGTAGAGGCGGGGTTTTGTCATGTTGCCCAGGCTGGTCTCGACCTCCTGAGCTCAAGCCATCTGCCTGCCTTGGCCTCCCACAGTACTGGGATTATAGGCATGAGTCACTGCACTTGGCCTAATTTTATTTATTTATTTTTTAATTTATTTTTTGAGAAGAAGTCTCGCTCTGCCACCCAGGCTGGAGTGCAGTGGTGCGATCTCGGTGTACTGCAAGCTCTGCCCCCCAGGTTCACACCGTTCTTCTGCCTCAGCCTCCCGAGTAGCTGGGACTACAGGCACCCGCCACCATGCCTGGCTAATTTTATTTTGTATTTTTTTTTTTTTTTTTTTGAGACGGAGTCTCGCTCTGTCGCCCAGGCTGAAGTGCAGTGGCCGGATCTCAGCTCACTGCAAGCTCCGCCTCCCGGGTTCACGCCATTCTCCTGCCTCAGCCTCCCAAGGAGCTGGGACTACAGGCGCCCGCCACCTCGCCCGGCTAGTTTTTTTTTTTTTTTTGTATTTTTTAGTAGAGACGGGGTTTCACTGGGTTAGCCAGGATGGTCTCCATCTCCTGACCTCGTGATCCGCCCGCCTCGGCCTCCCAAAGTGCTGGGATTACAGGCTTGAGCCACCGCACCCGGCCACTATTTTGTATTTTTAGTAGAGACGTGGTTTCACCGTGTCAGCCAGGATGGTCTCCATCTCCTGACCTCATGATCCGCCCACCTTGGCCTCCCAAAGTGTTGGGATTACAGGCGTGAGCCACCACACCTGACCCATTTTATTTTATTTTATTTTATTTATTTATTTATTTTGTGAGACAGAGTCTCGCTCTGTCGCCCAGGCTGCAGTGCAGTGGCCCGATTCGGCTCACTGCAAGCTCCACCTACTGGGTTCATGCCATTCTCCTGCCTCAGCCTCCTGAGTAGCTGGGACTACAGGCGCCCGCCACCTCACCCGGCTAATTTTTTATATTTTTAGTAGAGACGGGGTTTCATTGTGTTAACCAGGATGGTCTCGATCTCCTGACCTCGTGATCCGCCTGCCTCGGCCTCCCAAAGTGCTGGGATTACAGGCGTGAGCCACCGTGCCCGGCTATTTTTTTTAAAATAACATCCAGATCCTGCACGAGGTAAATTTTTTAACTTTTTGAAAAGTGAATCTGGGTTCAAAACTCAGAAAGTATAATAAGGTACAAGGATTAGGGCCCACCCTGGTGACCTCATCTTAACTACAGCTGTAGCAACCCTATTTCAAAATCAGGTCACATTCTGAGGTACTGGTTAGGGCTTGAATATATGACTTTGGGGTCAGGGGGCCACACACAATTCAGCTCATAACACCATCCTATCCCATAAGTAGCCACTGTTCATGGATTTTTAATATTCTTCCAAAGACTTTATGCAAAGCAAATATAAGTATAGATTATAATATTCTCTCAACCAAAATGCGGCATGATATATACAGTACACTTACTTTTTCACTCAACAGTATCCCTTGGCAAACTTTCCATATCAATACATGCAGTTTCATCCCTGCCTTTTTTTTTTTTTTTTGAGGCAGAGTCTTGCTCTGTCACCCAGGCTGGAGTGCAGTGGTACAGTCTTGGCTCACTCCAACCTCTGCCTCCTGGGTTCAAGCAGTTCTCCTGCCTTGGCTTCCCGAATAGCTGGGATTACAGGTATCTGCCATGATGCCTGGCTACTTTTTATATTTTTAGTGGAGACAGGGTTTCACCATGTTGGCCAGGTTGGTCGTCAACTCCTGACTTCTGGTGATCTGCCCGCCTCGGCCTCCCAAAGTGCTGGAATTACAGGCGTGAGCCACTGTGCCTGACCCCTCCTTGTGTTTTATAATTATGTGATACTGCATTGTGTCAATATACCATTTTTTTTTTTTTGAGATGAAGTTTCTCTCGTTGCCCAGGCTGGAGTACAATGGTGTGATCTTGGCTCACCACAACCTCCAACTTCCGGGTTCAAGTGATTCTCCTGCCTCAGCCTCCTAAGTAGCTGGAATTACAGGCATGTGCCATGACACCTGGCTAATTTTGTGTTTTTTAAGTAGAGACAGGGTTTCTCCATCTTGGTCAGACTGGTCTCGAACTCCTGACCTCAGGTGATCTGCCCGCCTCAGCCTCCCAAAGTGCTGGGATTACAGGCTTGAGCCACTGCACCCGGCTGATATACCATGATTTTTTAAGCAATCATAGATGTTTGGGTAATCCCATTCTTTTGCTATTATAAATAATGCTTCATGAAATAACCATGAACTTAGCTCTTTTTACATGTATACAAGTGTTTGTAGGATAAATTCCCCAAAAATGGATTTGCTAGGTCAAAGGTATATGTGTTTGCAACTTTTTCTTTTTCTTTATTTTTTTTGAGATGGATTCTCTCTCTGTTGCCCAGGCTGGAGTACAGTGGCGGCTCACTGCAACCTCCAGGCTGGAGTACAGTGGCGGCTCACTGCAACCTCCGCCTCCCAGGTTCAAGCAGTTCTTCTATCTCTGCATCCCAAGTAGCTGGGATTACAGGTGCACGCCTCCATGCCCGCCTCCATACCCAGCTAATTTTTTGTATTTAGTAGAGACAGGGTTTCACTGTATTGCCCAGGCTGGTCTCAAACTCCTGAGGTCAGGCAGTCCGCCTGCTTGGCCTCGCAAAGTGCTGGGATTACAGGTGTGAGCGACCACGCCTGGCTTTTTTTTTTTTTTTTTTTTTTTGACACGGAGTCTCGCTCTGTCGCCTAGGCTGGAGTGCAGTGGCGCGATCTTGGCTCACTGCAAGCTCCGCCTCCCAGGTTTACACCATTCTCCTGCCTCAGCCTCCCGAGTAGCTGGGACTACAGGCGCCCGCCACCATGCCCGGCTAGTTTTTTTGTATTTTTTAGTAGAGACGGGGTTTCACCGTGTTTGCCAGGATGGTCTCGATCTCCTGACCTCATGATCTGCCCGTCTCGGCCTCCCAAAGTGCTGGGATTATAGGCTTGAGCCACCGCGCCCAGCCTTTTTTTTTTTTTTTAAAGACAGGATCTTGTAGGCTGGACATGGTGGCTCATGCCTGTAATCCGAGCACTTTGAGAGACCAAGGCGGGCAGATCATGAGGTCAGGAGTTTGAGACCAGCCTGGCCAATATGCTGAAACCCCGTCTGTACTAAAAATACAAAAATTGCCCAGGCATGGTGGTGCGCGCCAGTAGTCCCAGCTACTTGGGAGGCTGAGGCAGAAGAATCTCTTGAACCTGGGAGGCAGAGGTTGCAGTGAGCCGAGATTGTGCCGCTGTACTCCATCCTGGGCAACAGAGTGAGACTCTGTCTCAAAAAAATAGGCCGGGCGCAGTGGCTCAAGCCTGTAATCCCAGCACTTTGGGAGGCTGAGACGGGTGGATCACGAGGTCAAGAGATCGAGACCATCCTGGCTAACACGGTGAAACCCCGCCTCTACTAAAAAATACAAAAAACTAGGCGGGCATGGTATCGGTCGCCTGTAGTCTCAGCTACTCGGGAGGTTGAGGCAGGAGAATGGCGTAAACCCAGGAGGCGGAGCTTGCAGTGAGCTGAGATCCGGCCACTGTACTCCAGCCTGGGCGACAGAGCGAGACTCCGTCTCAAAAAAAAAAAAAAGACAGGCTCTTGCTCTGTCACCCAGGCTGCAGTGCAGTGGCTCAAACTCCTGGGCTCAAGCTGTTCTCCTGCCCCAGTCTCCTGAATAGCTGGGATTACAGGCTAATTTTTTAAATTGTTAGTAGAGACTAGGTCTTGCTGTGTTACCCAGGCTGACATTTGCATTTTTTCTCAGTATTTTCAAAGTCCTTTCCTTAGGTATTATACCAATTAATATTTCTGGTTTTTTTTGTTTTGTTTGTTTGTTTTTTTGAGACAAGAGTTTTGCTCTTGTTGCCCAGGCTGGAGTGCTGTGGCATGATCTCGGCTCACCACAACCTCCGCCTCCTGGGTTCAAGCGATTTTCCTGCTTCAGCCTTCCCGAGTAGCTGGGATTACAGGCATGCGCCACCACACCCAGCTAATTTTTTTTTTTTAGTAGAGACAGGGTTTCTCCATGTTGGTCAGACTGGTCTCAAACTCCTGACCTCAGGTGATCCACCCGCCTCAGCCTCCCGAAGTGCTGGGATTACAGGATGAGCCACTGTGCCCGGCCACCAATTAATATTTCCATCAGCAAAAATGAGAGTGTTTTTCTACAATCTCATCACAGAATTAACAGTCAAACTTTTAGAATTTGCCAATCTGAAAGGTAAAAAATGGTAGACTATGTTTGCTAATAAGGCTGTGTTTTTAAGTAGGACTATTAAGAGGTGACATATTCTGATCTGTCTGAAATTAGTCAAAATTTCTAGAAATTTAAAAGTTTTCACCAGGTACAGTAGTTCATGCCAGTAATCCTAGTGCTTTGGGAGACCAAGGCAGGAGGATTACTTGAGGCCAGGAATTTGAGAACAAGCTGGGCAACACGGCAAGACTCCATCTCTACAAAAATGTTTTTGTTTTAAATTAGCTGAGAATAGTGGCGCATGCCTGTAGTGCTAGCTACTCAGGAGGCTAAGGCAGGAGGATGTGGTGGTATGCACCTGTAGTCCCAGCTAAGTGGGAGCCTGGGGTGGGAGGATCACTTCGGCTCAGGAGATTAAGGTTGTAGTGAGCTATGATTGCACCACTGCACTTTAGTCTGGGCAACAGAGGGAGACCCTGTCTCAAAAAAAAAAAAAAAATTCTAGAAATAAAATTTCACTAAACATAAAGAAATGCCAACTATTTATATTTTGACTACTTAAAATAAATTTCAGACTGGGTGCTGTGTCTCATGCCTGTAATCTCAGCACTTTGGGAGGCCAAGGTGGGCGGATCACTTGATTGAGGTCTGGAGTTTAAGACCATCCTGGCCAACATGGCAAAACCCCGTCTCTACTAAAAATACCTAAATTAGCCAAGTGTGGTGGCACACGCCTAATCCCAGCTACTCAGGAGGCTGAGGCAGGAGAATCGCTTGAACCCAGGAGGCGGAGGTTGCAGTGAGCCAAGGTTGCACCATTGCATTCCAGTTTTGGGCTACAAGAGGAAAACTCCGTCTAAAAAATAAATAAATAAAATAAATTTCAGTGTATTTATTTATATTGTCCCACATTTTTGGTGGTTCTCATATTTGCCTTTCTAATTATGACAACTGTTTTCTTGTGTAGGTATTATCAAAACCAGTACCACTGCTGAGAAAACAGATGAAGAGGAGAAAGGTAACTACTCTTGGATGCCCTTGGCAAGAGACAGCATGACCCAGGGCTTGCCTTCCTGGAGCCAGAGGCACTCCAAGCTACAAGATCCAGGAGATGAGAGGAATTAGAGAAGGAATAGTCAGTGAGAGGAGGAGAACCGAACAAGTCCTGAAGCAGTGGCTCATGCCTGTAGTTCCAGCACTTTGGGAGGCCGAGGTGGGAGGATTGCTTTGGGCCAGGAGTTCAAGCCCAGCCTGGGCAACATAGGGAGACCCCATCTCTACAAAAGATTTCAAAATGAGCTGGGTGTGGTAGCATACACCTGGACTCCCAGCTACTTGGGAGGCTGAGTTGGGAGGATCGCCTGAACCCAGGAATTCTAGGCTACAGTGAGCTATGATTGTGCTACTGCACTCCAGCCTGGGTGACAGCAAGACCCCATCTCTAAAATAAATAAATAGAGACCTATCAGTGTGATGGTTTTTCTCCAGCCATGCTTGACTGCCCAGCTGCTAGTGTGGAGAAGGAGAAAGTGTGGCTTCATAAGCGTGTGGTTTGCCAAATGAGAATGAAGATCTACTGGTTTCTTCCTGACAGAGGACAGAGCTGCCCAGTCCTTACTCAACAAGCTGATCAGAAGCAACCTTGTCGATAACACAAACCAAGTAGAAGTCCTGCAGCGGGATCCAAACTCCCCTCTGTACTCAGTGAAGTCGTTTGAAGAGCTTCGACTGTGAGTATTCGCTCCTTTCAACAGCTCTTCCTTACCAGTCTCTCCCCACATAAAACTTAGCATCTCAGAAATTCTTGTGAGAATTTTTACTTTTAAAAAGTTAGCATTTTTTTTTTCTTTTTTTTTTTTTGAGACAGAGTTTCACTCCTGTTGCCCAGGCTGGAATGCAATCGCGCGACCTTGGTTCACTGCAACCTCTGCCTCCCGGGTTCAAGCGATTCTCCTGCCTCAGCCTCCCAAGTAGCTGGGATTACAGGTGCGCGGCATCACACCCGGCTAATTTTTTGTATTTTTAGTAGAGACAGGGTGTCACCATTTTGACCAGGCTGGTCCTGAACTCCTGACCTCAGGTGATCCGCCCGCCTCGGCCTCTCAAAGTGCTGGGATTATAGGCATGAGCCACCGTGCCTGGCTATTTTTTTCTTTGCAAAGAAGTCACATGAATAAATCACATGATTCAAAAGTCAAAAAGTATGAAAACATTTGCAGTATTAATTTCCCCCCCTAGTGTCTTGGCTACCCTGTTCTCTCGGTAGGAATTTTTTAATGCTTCAAATTTATTAATCATAGCTAAAAGTCTTATTTCTCTTATACTCTTAGAACTTTCAATAAAATATTGGCTGACAGGTGATTTCTGGATGTCAGGAACATTTCTGATTAGGTAAGCCCTTAAGTGAGAACATGTGCTATTTTTTTTTTTTTTTTTTTTTTTAAAAAAAAGGCCAGGCACAGTGGCTCACGCCTATAATCCCAGCACTTTGGGAGGCCGAGGTGGGCATATCACAAGGTCAGGAGTTTGAGACCAGCCTGACCAACATGGTGAAACCCTGTCTCCACTAAAAATACAAAACTTAGCCGGGCGTGATGGCACAGGCCTGTAATCCCAGCTACTCAGGAGGCTGGGGCAGGAGAATCACTTGAACCTGTGAGGCGGACATTGCAGTGAGCCAAGTTCGTGCCACTGCACTCCATCCTGGGCAACAGAGTGAGACTCTGTCTCAAAAAAATATACATATATGTATATTTAGACTATAGGGTTTACAGTCTTACAGTTTATCTGCTTTTTAAAAAATCTATCAAATCTGTTTTTGGTTTTCTTTTTTTTCTTTTGTTTTTTTGAGATGGAGTCTTGCTCTGTTGCCCAGGCTGGAGTGCAGTGGCGCAATTTCAGCTCACCACAACCTCCATCTCCCAGGTTCAAGCGATTCTCCTGCCTCAGCCTCCTGAGTTAGCTGGGAGTAGAGGTGCACACCATCATGTCCGGCTAATTTTTGTATTTTTAGAAGAGACAGGGTTTCACTATGTTGGCCAGGCTGGTCTCGAATTCCTGATCTCGTGATCCGCCTGCCTTGGCCTCCCAAAGTGCTGGGATTACAGGCATGAGCCACCGTGCCTGGCCTTATGTTTTAGGTTTACTTCAGTAAATTAATATAGGATTAAGTATGGATCATTGTCTTACATCCATGCCACTGTGCTGGGTGTTACAAGGAACACAAGACCTACTTATTATTCTTGCTGCCTGCCAGGATCACAATCATAGAAAGTAGCTGATGAATAAGAATGTGGTGAAATCAATGGATTATTTGCCATAATTCAGCAAAATCTATAGTATGGCCACTGTGGACAAATTGAAGCCACATTCCTTCCAGCTATTACCACTGAGTAAGAGACACGTAAAACAAAGCTAACTAGTTGTTAAGTAATCTTGGAGAACAATTTTTTATTTTTATTTCTATTCATTTATTTATTTACTTTTGAGACTGAGTCTCACTCTGTTGCCCAGGCTGGAGCGCAGTGGCACAATCTTGACTCACTGCAACCTCTACCTCCTAGGTTCAAGCGATTCTCGTGCCTCAGCCTCTCACGTAGCTGGGATTACAGGCCTGAGCCACCATGCCTGGCTCATTTGGGTATTTTTAGTAGAGACAGGGTTTCATCATGTTGGCCACGGTGGTCTCAAACTCCTGGCCTCAAGCGATCTGCCCACCTCAGCCTCCCAGGCTGCTGGATTACAGGCATGAGCCACTGCACCCAACCTTATTTTTTTATTTTTCAAAATAGAGGTGTGGTATTGCTGTGTTGGCCAGGTTGCTCCTGAACTCCTGTTCTCAAAGATTCCTCCTGCCTCACCTTCAAAATTGCTAGGATTACATACAGGTGTGAGCCACAGCACCTGGCCCAAGAACTTTTTTTTTTTTTTTTAAATGGAGATGAGGTTTCACCATGTTGCCCAGGCTGGACCAAAAATGTATTTTTTTTTTTTTTTTTTTTTTTTTTTTTTTCTGAGACGGAGTCTGGCTCTGTCGCCCAGGCTGGAGTGCAGTGGCCAGATCTCAGCTCACTGCAAGCTCTGCCTCCTGGGTTCACACCATTCTCCTGCCTCAGCCTCCCGAGTAGCTGGGACTACAGGCACCAGCCACCTCGCCCGGCTAGTTTTTTGTATTTTTTGGTAGAGACGGGGTTTCACCGTGTTAGCCAGGATGGTCTCGAACTCCTGACCTCATGATCCGCCCGTCTCAGCCTCCCAAAGTGCTGGGATTATAGGCTTGAGCCACCGCGCCCGGCCCAAAAATGTATTTTTAAACAGTTACACTTTTGTTTGGGCACAGTGGCTCACGCCTGTAATCCCAGCACTTTGGGAGGCCGAGGCAGGTGGATCGCCTGAGGTCAGGAGTTTGAGACCAGACTGGTCAAAATGATGAAACCCCATCTCTACCAAAAATACAAAAAAATTAGCCGTCCATAATGGCACATGGCCTGTAGTCCCAGCGACTCAGGGGGCTGAGGTAGGAGAATTGCTTGAGCCCTGGAGGCGGAGGTTGCAGTGAGCCGAGATCATGCCATTGCACTCCAGCCTGGGAGATAAAAGCGAAACCCCTTCTCAAAAAAAAAAAAAAAAAAAAAAATTTTTTTCAGGAAATTACGCTTTTGTATGTGTTTTCTCTATCAGGACTTTATTCGCCAAATCTGTCATCTCCACTTCTATTTTTAAGCTGTATCAGGACAGCTAGACATGTGGTATTATTTCCTTAGAGTGACAGTTTGCTCCTCCAAGTATCAACTGGCTTTTTAATTTCTTCCATTTAGAAGACGTGAGCTCTCAGTTTAACCACTGATGAATTGTCCTCTGTAAAAGGCAGGTTCTCTCTGATTTAGTTGTTGGTAGGAAAAGGAAACAAAGAATGAAACCAAGGTCACCTTTTGAGTCTCAATTAAGTAGTGACTTTGTTTCGTTGGCAACCAAGTCAGAAGCTGCCGAGTGTCACAGCGTTTTCTCCCAAATGGAAGATACTAAAGATTAAGTTTTTAAAGTTCTTTTTGTCTGAGGACCAACATACGCCAGAGAATTTGCCTTTTAGAGAGCCTACTAAATTCCAAGGAAGGCTTAGAGAACAGTTGGGTGGCCTTTTCTTTAGAAACAATCTGGTGTGATTTTTCTTAAACATCTTGTCAATTTAGAGGTAGCAGAGAGCTTATTGTAAATGCAGTGTAAGAGCAACTTAAATGATAATTCTTGTATAGCTGCTTACATAAGAAGTTGGTGTCCAGGTGCGGTGGCTCACGCCTCTAATCCCAGCACTTCGGGAGGCCAAGGCGAGTGGATCTCTTGAGCTCAGAAGTTCAAGACTTGCCTGGGCAACATGGTGAAACCCTGTCCCTACAAAAAAATTTAAAAATAATTAGCCGGGTGTGATGGCACGTGCCTGCAGCCCCACCTACTCGAGGGGCCGAGGTGGGAGGATCTCTTGAGGCCTGGGAGGTGTCGGTTGCAGTGACCCCACTTCACACAACTGCACTCCAGCCTGGGCAACAGAGTGAGAACGTCTCTCAAAAAGAAGTTAGTGTGTGTCTGTTTACTTTGATTAGACCTAAGTGAATCTGAGCATTTGTAAAGTTTAGTAGGTTAATCGAACAACCTTTAACTGTTTACTCTATATCAGCTACTAGAAACTGGCTTCATCAATTTTCTTTTTCTCTCACTGGGCGCAGTGGCTCACGCCTGTAATCCTAGCACTTTGGGAGGCCGAGGCAGGTGGATCACCTGAGATTAGGAGTTCGAGACCAGCCTGGCCAACATGGCGAAATCCCGCCTCTACTAAAAATACAAAAATTAGCCAGGTGTGGCAGTATGCGCCTGTAATCCTAGCTACTCAGGAGGCTGAGGTAGGAGACTCGCTTGAACCCAGGAGGCAGAGGCTACAGTGAGCCAAAATCACACCATTGCACTCTAGCCTGAGTGACAGAGCAAGATTCCATCTCAAAAAAAAAAAAATCTTTTTTTTTTTTTTTTTTTTTTTTTTTAAAAGAGATGACCTGGCCCTGTTGCCCCGCCCAGAGTGCAGTAGGGCAATCGTAGCTCACTATAGTCTCGAACTCTTAGCCTCAGGCAATCCTCCTGCCTCAATCTCCCAAGTAGCTAGGACTACAGGTGCATGCCACCATGTCTAGCTCTTTTGTAGAGACAGGGTCTCACTGTGTTGCCCAGGCCAGTGTTGAACGCCTGGACTCCTCAAGCAATCATCCCACCTAGGCCTCCCAAACTGCTGGGATTACAGGCGTGACCTACCACGCCCAGCCCATCAATTTCCTTACCTGTTGACAGTCTTGAGTATTTGCACAGCTGGCTTTGGAAGGAACATGGAAAAAAAGGACTTCTGAATCTTAGCAGTATAGTAAATAGTGTTTATTTTCATTTATTATTTACTTATTTAGAGTCCCACTCTGTCACCCTGGCTGGAGTGCAGTGGCTCAATCACAGATCACTGCAGCCTTGACCTGTGAAGCTCAAGTGAGCCTCCCACCTCAGCCTCTTGAGTAGCTGGGACTACAGGTGTACCCAGCTAATTTTTTTTTTTTTTTTTTTTTTTTTTTGAGACGGAGTCTTGCTCTGTTGCCCGGGCTGGAGTGCAGTGGCCAGATCTCAGCTCACTGCAAGCTCCGCCTCCCGGGTTTACGCCATTCTCCTGCCTCAGCCTCCCGAGTAGCGGGGACTACAGGCGCCCGCCACCTCGCCCGGCTAGTTTTTTGTGTTTTTAGTAGAGACGGGGTTTCACTGTGTTAGCCAGGATGGTCTCGATCTCCTGACCTCGTGATCCGCCCGTCTCGGCCTCCCAAAGTGCTGGGATTACAGGCTTGAGCCACCGCGCCCGGCCCCCAGCTAATTTTTGTATTTTTTTTTTTTTGTAGAGACGTATCACCGTGTTGCCCAGGCTGGTCTCAAATTCCTGGCCTCAAACAGTTGGCCTGCCTTGACCTCCCAAAGTGCTGAGATTACAGGCATGAGTCACTGCACCTGGCCTATTTTTAGATATATATTTTATAATTTATTTAATGCTATGAATTAATAACCACCACCCTTACTGTGTCCAGGGAACACTTGTCCTCCAAGGCCAGCCAGATTTGTGGGTCTGCTGAAAGCATTAATTTCTCTAAGAAAATAAAGCAGTCTGTATTTTATGAACTATAGAAATAGTTGCAGATTAAGATTCCTTAGGGAGAGGCAGTAGCTTGGTTTGGTTTGCTTTGGTTATCGACAGTGTTTTTTTAAGGCATAGGAAAATGCGTCTGACAGAGGTAGGAAGCATCATTCCTAACTATAGAAAAAGATAAGATTCTAGGCCTCTAAACAATTCCAACTTCTAGGCATCCATCCTCTGTCTTCCTGGCTTCCTAGGAAACCACAGCTTCTCCAGGGAGTCTATGCCATGGGCTTCAATCGACCTTCCAAGATACAAGAGAACGCATTACCCATGATGCTTGCTGAACCGTGAGTATGCAGACCAAGTGCATCTCTCCCAGTGTGATTAAATCAGTCTTCCACAAACTGCCTTTTTGTGCCTGAGAACAGAAGGGGCTGTTTGAGGCCACGTGTTTCCTCAGGAAAACAGCTTAGGCAAGTGCAGAGAAAATTGGATGGAGTTAGATACAGTTTCTGCCTTTTCCACTTAACAATAGAAACTTATAGAGAAAAATAGTGCTTTATTCTATGCTATCTTAAAAATTGGGCTTAAGGCCGGGCATGGTGGCTCACTCCTGTAATCCTAGCAATTTGGGAGGCCAAGGCGGGTGGATCACCTGAGGTCAGGAGTTTGAGTCCAGCCAGGCCAACATGGCAAAACCCTGTCTCTACTAAAAGTACAAAAATTAGCTGGGTGCAGTGGCCCACACCTGTTATCCTAGCACTTTGGGAGGCCAAGGTGGGTGGACTGCCTGAGCTCAGGAATTTGAGAGCAGCCTGGGCAACATGCTGAAACCCCGTCTTACTAATAAAAAAAAATTTTTTTAATGAATTATCTGGGCCTGGTGGCATGTGCCTGTAGTCCCAGCTACTGGGGAGGCTAAAGCAGGAGAATTGCTTGAACCCAGGAAGCAGAGGTTGCATTGAGCTGAGATGGTGCCACTGCACTCTAGCCTGGGCAACAGAGCAAGACCCTGTCTCAAAAAAAAAAAAAAAAAAACTAACTAAAAATACAAAAATTAGCCTGGCATGGTGGCACGTGCCTGTGGTCTCAGCTACATGGGAGGCTGAGGCAGGAGAATCGCTTGAACTCCAGGGGCAGAGGTTGCAGTGAGCCGAGATCGCGCCACTACACTATAGCCTGGGAAACAGAGTGAGACTCTGTCTCAAGAAAAAAAAAATTGGGTTTGAAAAATATTATTTTGATGTGAATGGTGTTGCAATGAATTAAAAAACAAACAAAATAGGCCGGGCGCGGTGGCTCAAGCCTGTAATCCCAGCACTTTGGGAGGCCGAGATGGGCGGATCACTAGGTCAGGAGATCGAGACCACCCTGGCTAACACGGTGAAACCCCGTCTCTACTAAAAAATACAAAAAACTAGCCAGGCGAGGTGGTGGGCTCCTGTAGTCCCAGCTACTCGGGAGGCTGAGGCAGGAGAATGGCGTAAACCTGGGAGGCGGAGCTTGCAGTGAGTGGAGATCACGCCACTGCACTCCAGCCTGGGCGACAGAGTGAGACTCCGTCTCAAAAAAAAAAAAAAAACAACAACAAACAAAATATTATTTGGAAATTTTTGAGACCTACACAGAGGTGTAAAGTACAATACCAAGAATAGCTCTGTAGCCCTATCCTGCCAAGAAAGGAAGCAGGTCCAGTTGATAGTTGAAGCCCCTGAATTCCCCTCCTTCCACATCCTTCTCCCACCCTGACCAGAGTGAGCTCCTTTTGAGACAGGGTCTCACCGTTTCCCTGGCTAGAGTGTAGTGGTGCAATTATAGCCCACTGCAGCCTCGACCTCCTGACTTTAAACAAATTTTTTTGTAGTTTGAGAAGCTGAGGCACGTGGATCACCTGAGGTCAGGAGTTTGAGACCAGCCTGGCCAACATGGTGAAACCCCGTGTCTACAAAAAATTTAAAAAAATTAGCCGGCCGTGGCAGCACACACCTGTAATCCCAGCTGCTAGGGAGGCTGAGGTGGGAGGATCGCTTGAACCCAGGAAGCAGAGGTTGCAATGAGCCAAGATTACACCACTGCACTCCAGCCTGGGCGACAGAGTAAGACTGTCTCAAAAAAAAAAAAAAAAATTTTGTAGAGACAGGGTTATCACTATGTTGCCAGGGCTGGTCTCAAACTCCTGGCCTCAAGTGAGTCTCCAGCCTCAGCCTCCCAAAGTGTTGGGATTACAGGCATGTGTTACTGCATCTGGCATATTTATCTTTTTTTCTTTTTTGAAATGGAGTCTCCTCTGTCACACAGGCTGGAATGCAGTGGTGCGATTTCGGCTCACTGCAGCCTCTGCCTTCCGGGTTCAAGTAATTCTCCTGCCTCAGCCTCCTGAATAGCTGTGATTACAGGTGCCTGCCACCACACCTGGCTACTTTTTGTATTTTTTGTTTGTTTGTTTGTTTTTGAGATGAAGTCTCGCTCTGTTGCCCAGGCTAGAGTGCAGTGGTGCAGTCTCGGCTCACTGCAACCTCCGCCTCCCGGGTTCAAGCGATTCTCCTGGCTCAGCTTCCTGAGTAGCTGGGATTACAGGTGCCCGCCACCATGCCTGGCTAATTTTTGTATTTTTAGTAGAGATGCGGTTTCACCATGTTGACCAAGCTGGTCTCGAACTCCTGACCTCGTGATCTGCCCGCCTCGACCTCCCAAAGTGCTGGGATTACAGGCATGAGCCACCGTGCCCAGCCTAATTTTTGTATTTTTAATGGAGGTGGAGTTTCACCATGTGTTGGCCAGGCTGGTCTCGAACTCCTGACCTCAAGTGATTTGCCCACCTTAGCTTATTTAGCCTTTTTTTTTTTTGTGAGACAGAGTCTAGCTTTGTCGCCCAGGCTGGAGTGCAGTGACACAATCTCGGCTCACTGCAAGCTCCGCCTCCCGGGTTCACACCATTCTCCCCCACCTCAGCCTCCCGAGTAGTTGGGACTACAGGTGCCCGCCACCACGCCTGGTAATTTTTTGTATTTTTAGTAGAGACGAGGTTTCACCATGTTAACCAGGATGGTCTCGATCTCCTGACTTTGCGATCCGCCCGTCTCGGCCTCCCAAAGTGCTGGGATTACAGGCGTGAGCCATATTTATCTTTTTTAAAAATGACAAACATGCCACCTATTCCCATGATGCTGGGTCCCATAAAGTGGAATGTAAAAATTCCCCCTAAAACATCCACCTGACTTAGCATCTTGTCCATAAAGCTGGGGAAAGGCACACACAGAAGGAGCCAAATTTTGGAATGCATCACGCCTCAGCCAAAAATATTGATGGGAACTTGTCTGGGTACAGATCTTACTCTGCACACTTGATTTCCCTGTGACCCTTGGGGTACAAAACTGGAGTCCTCTAGCTGTGCTAGAGGCTAGAATGAGAATTTCTTGGTGTAAGCCCGTTTAAAATAATCATTTATTTTACAATTTAAGCAGCTTTTTAATAGCATATTAAAAAATGTATGAAAGTAATTTCTCCTCAGTGGAGAAAACCTGGGTAATACAGAGAAGCATCAGGGGGAAATATGCCTTTCATTCAGAAAGAACGTTGACATGTTACTGAGTTTCACCAATATGTTTCATTTGTGTTCTTCCTTGATCTAGCCCACAGAACCTGATTGCACAGTCTCAGTCTGGCACTGGTAAAACAGCTGCCTTTGTCTTAGCCATGCTCAGTCGAGTGGAGCCAGCAGACAGATATCCCCAGGTGAGGGCTTGCGGGGCTGGGTATCCTGGGTTGCTTGCCCTGGGGAGCGCAATGCCATCTGGTGGGGATTAACGAGAGGTCTGAAGCTTCTGACGCCTTAGGCTATGGCTCAGGCAGAGCAAGTTCCTACACCAGGCCCTGACCTGGGAGGATGTGCTTGGAAGCAGCAGCCTTAGACCATGGCTTCCAAAGCCCTCTGCCAAGCCAGGGCTACCTGCTGCAGGCTTCAATCTATAGCTGAAAGGTGGGCCTGGATGGAACGACATGCTTCCCTGTGCTGTTCAAGTGCTAATAACATCAGCATACTGGGTGCCTTCAGGTCTGTTACCAAATGGTTCTCCTAAACTCATCCTTTATGATTTTTCTGTCAGTGTCTGTGCCTCTCCCCAACATATGAGCTGGCGCTTCAAACAGGAAAAGTGATTGAGCAGATGGGCAAATTTTACCCAGAACTGAAGCTTGCCTATGCTGTTCGAGGCAATAAATGTGAGTACAGCAGGCGACACCTAAACAGTGAGCAGGGTAGGGGGTTGGGTGTTTGAATTTTGAAGATGCAATGACCATATCCAACTTTCTAATTCAGTCTGACTCTGGAGCCTAACTGTGTTGCTCTCTTTGAATCTATTTGAATACCTGCTAATTTGTTAACAGTCTTTTTCAGTCTTAAAATAAGATTTTTGGTTGATAAAAAAAATCCATGCATGGCTCACAGTGTTCTTAATATCTAGAGTTCTTCGCTAAGAAGGTAGAGTTTTGAATTTAGCATCCAGAGTTCTGGTACCTGCTTACCAAAGAGGGATTAACAGGACTGAGGATGGAAGGTTGGGGTTAGCTCCCTTTCTTTAAAAGTAAGCAAAACCAGGTACAGTGGCTCACACCTGCAATCCCAGCCCTTTGGGAGGCCAGGGTGGGAGGATTGCTTCAGCACATGGTTCAAGACCAGCCTGGGCAACATACACACACACACACACAAAATTAGCCAAGCGGCCGGGCACGGTGGCTCACACCTGTAATCCCAGCACGTTGGGAGGCCGAGGTGGGCAGATCACAAGGTCAGGAGATCGAGACCATCCTGGTTAACACTGTGAAACCCCGTCTTTACTAAAAAATACAAAAAATTAGCCGGTTGTGGTGGCGGGCATCTGTAGTCCCAGATACTCGGGAGGCTGAGGCGGGAGAATGGCATGAACCCGGGAGGCAGAGCTTGCAGTGAGCCGAGATCACGCCACTGCACTTCAGCCTGGACAACAGAGCAAGACTCCATCTCAAAAAAAAAAAAAAAAAATTAGCCAGCGTGGAAGTGCCAGCTTATAGTCCCAGCCTTTTGAGAGGCTGAGGCAGGAGGATCACTTGACCCTGTGTGGTCAGTGCTACAGTGAGCCATGACTGTGTCACTGCACTCTAGTCTGGGCAACAGAGTGAGACCCTGTCTCAAAATAAATAAATAAATAAACAAACATAAAAAGAGTTGGATGATGTTGGATTATAGGAGGAAGAAGAAAGGAACTGATGCTTATTGAAGGACTGCTGTGTGGGATTTGATCCTGACCACAGTGCACTGAGATAGGTATCATTCTGCCCACTTCACAGCAGAAGAAACCAAGACTGAGGGGAACACTCGTGTGTTTTGAAATCTGGAAATAACTTGTTCTCCTAGTCCTAGAAGGATGGGCAGGGCTTTGATTTCCAGAGCTGGCTTTGCCTTTGAAATACCCATGAAAATCACCTGGGTCTCCACAGTGGAAAGAGGCCAGAAGATCAGTGAGCAGATTGTCATTGGCACCCCTGGGACCGTGCTGGACTGGTGCTCCAAGCTCAAGTTCATTGATCCCAAGAAAATCAAGGTGTTTGTTCTGGATGAAGCTGACGTCATGATAGCCACTCAGGGCCACCAGGATCAGAGCATCCGCATCCAGAGGTAGGGATCTCGAGGGCAGAGGACTCCTCAGCCTCCCCATCTGCAGTGTCTTCTCCCTTCACTTCAGACGCCTCCTCTGGCCTCTGCCAGGGTCTTGGCTCTCGTACTCTCAGCAGCATTTGTTTGACAGGCCATTTCCATGTCAGCACTGACCACAGTCCCTCCCAGCCTGGGCTGAGAAAGGAGACCTAGGGACTCTCCCCCAACCCCTGTCCCCCACCCAGGCCTACTGCTCCTCCTCCCCCTTCAGCCTTCCTGGGCATCTAGACCCTCCCAGCTGGGGAGGCTGTGCTTCCGCTGCTTCCCGGGGCCACCTGGGGCCACATGCCAGGGCCTTCCCTTGCAGGATGCTGCCCAGGAACTGCCAGATGCTGCTTTTCTCTGCCACCTTTGAAGACTCTGTCTGGAAGTTTGCCCAGAAAGTGGTCCCAGACCCAAACATTATCAAACTGAAGCGGGAGGAAGAGACCCTGGACACCATCAAGCAGTACTATGTCCTGTGCAGCAGCAGAGACGAGAAGTTCCAGGCCTTGTGTAACCTCTATGGGGCCATCACCATTGCTCAAGCCATGATCTTCTGCCATGTGAGTAGTAGCAGCAGTGGCAGGCCTGGCCCTTCCCTCTCAGCCAGCTCCACACAGGGCTCAGGAGGACTGGATGCCCCTGGGTGCCGTGGGAAGAAAGGAAGTGGTTTCTGAAGATGTAAGAGACAGGCTCTCCTTTAGTCGGGGTAATGGTAGTATCCCAAGGGATACATAGCCTAAACATAGAGCCCCTGAACTTTATGTCTTATTTGTGGATGATGTATTATTGCGTAACCCAAGAGAATCACCTCATATTTGTAAGAAAAATTAAAAATTCAACGAGATGGCCAGGCACGGTGGCTCATGCCTGTAATCGCAGCACTTTGGGAGGCCGAGGCGGGCAGATCACGAGGTCAGGAGACTGAGACCATCCTGGCTAACATGGTGAAATCCCATTTCTACTAAAAGTACAAAAAATTAGCTGGGCATGGTGGCGGGTGCCTGTAATCCCAGCCACTCGGGAGGCTGAGACAAGAGAATGGTGTGAACCTGGGAGGCGGAGCTTGCAGTGAGCTGAGATCACACCACTACACTCCAGCCTGGCGACAGAGTGAGACTCCATCTCAAAAAAAAAAAAAATGTTCAGCAAGATGGTTAGTCATAACATTCACACACATAGTTTTCCAGTCTCGAACAGCAAATACTTACAAAATAGGATAGTTCTCATTGATAATAGAAAAAATAAATATTTAAGATCTCTGAAGAAAATGTCAAAATGATTTTAGAATAAAAGAGACAGCTGAGCGCGGTGGCTCACGCCTGTAATCTCAACACTTTGGTAGACCGAGGTGGGCAGATCACCTGAGGTCAGGAGTTGGAGATCAGCCTGACCAACATGGAGAAACCCTGTCTCTACTAAAAATACAAAATTAACCAGACGTGGTGGCGCATGCCTGTAATCCCAGCTACTCGGGAGGCTGAGGCAGCGGAATCACTTTAACCCGGGAGGCGGAGGTTGCAGTGAGCCGATATTGCGCCACTGCACTCCAGCCTGGGTGACAGAGCGAGACTCCATCTCAAAAAAAAAAAAAAAAAAAGGCCAGGCTCAGTGGCTCATGCCTGTAATCCCAACACTTTTGGAGGCCAAGTCAGAAAGATTGCTTCAGCCCAGGAGTTTGAGACCAGCGTGGGCAACATCGGGAGACCCCATCTCTAAAACTCTTTAAAAAAAATTTAGCTGGATGTGGTGGCACACACCTGTGGTCTCAGCTACTCGGAAGACTGAGGTGGGAGGATCCTTTGAGCCCAGGAGTTAGAGGCCGCAGTCAGCTGTGATCATGCCACTGCACTTAGCATGGCTCACAAAGCAACACCCTGTCTCGAAACAAAGAAACATACAAGGTAATGATATAGTGATAACAGTAATATCTCAAATATAATCTACATTCTCCTTCCTCCACTTGTGCCAAAAGTATTCTTTTTTCTTTTTTTGAGACAGAGTCTAACTCTGTAACCCAGGCTGGAGTGCAATGGCTTCATCTTGGCTCACTGCAACTTCTGTCTCCCGGGTTCAGGTGATTCTGCTGCCTCAGCCTCCAAAGTGGCTGGGATTATAGGCACCTGCCATCATGCCCAGCTAATTTTTATATTTTTGGTAGAGGGGTTTTCACCATGTTGCCCAGGCTGGTCTTGAACTGCTGACCACAGGTGATCCACCTGATGTGGCCTCCCAAAGTACTGGGATTACAGGCGTGAGCCACTGTGCCTGGCGCAAAAAAATATTCTTTTTTTTTTCTTTTGAGATGGTCTCACTACCTTGCCCAGGCTGGACTCAAACTCCTGGGCTCAAGCGATTCTCCCACCTCAACCTCCCAAGTAGCTGGGACTCCAGGCATATGGCACTGTGCCCAGCTCATCTTTATTGCTTTTTGTTTTGTTAAATCCAAGAGCCAGTCAAGGTTTGCTTGTTGCATTTAATTGTCATGTCTCTTAAGACTCCTAAATCTAGAAGAATTTCCTCACCTGCATTTTATTGCCTCCCATTACAATGACATCTTGAAGCATCTAGGGTAGTCTTTTGTTTTTTTTTGAGACGGAGTTTCGCTTTTGTTGCCAAGGCTGGAGTGCAGTGGCGCAATCTTGGTTCACCACAACCTCTGCTTCCTGGGTTCAAGCCATTCTCCTGCCTCAGCCTCCTGAGTAGCAGGGATTATATGCACGTGCCACCACACCTGGCTAACTTTTGTATTTTTAGTAGAGACCATGTTGTCTGGCCCCCGGGGTAGTCTTTTACTCCTAGGCTCAAGTGATCCTTCACCTTGGTCTCCCAAAGTGCTGTGATTATAGGCGTGAGCCACTATATCTTGCCCCAGGTTAAATATTTTTGTGGTATAAATTTTCTTTTCTTGGCCGGGCTCGGTGGCTCAAGCCTGTAATCCCAGCACTTTGGGAGGCCGAGACGGGCAGATCACGAGGTCAGGAGATCGAGACCATCCTGGCTAACACGGTGAAACCCCGTCTCTACTAAAAAAAATACAAAACACTAGCCGGGCGAGGTGGCAGGCGCCTGTAGTCCCAGCTACTCAGGAGGCTGAGGCAGGAGAATGGCGTAAGCCTGGGAGGCGGAGCTTGCAGCGAGCTGAGATCCGGCCACCGCACTCCAGCCTGGGCTACAGAGCGAGACTCCGTCTCAAAAAAAAAAAAAAAAAATTTCTTTTCTTTCTTTTTTTTTTTTTTTTTTTTGGAGACAGGGTCTTGCTCCATCGCCCAGGCTGGAGTGCAATGGTGCAATCTTGGCTCACCAGCCTCAGCCACCCAGGTTCAGACGATTCTCCTGCCTCAGCTCCTGCAAGTAGCTGGGACTTTACAGGCCCACGCCACCATGCCTAGCTAAATTTTTTGTAGAAACAGGGTTTGGCCATGTTGCCCAGGCTGCTCTCAAACTCCTGAGTTCAACCGATCCACGTGCCTCTGCCTCCCAACGTGCTAGGATTACAGGTGTGAGCCACCATGTCCAGTCAGGTACAAATGTTTTTGTAAGATTACAACCCATGTGACATTGTTACTTCCTGTTGCACTATATTGGGTTTATAATTTTAAGAAATTTAGCCTTTAGCTGCTACGTTTCAGGAGCAGTCTTCCAGATCAAAAATATCTTTAGCTGAGTGCGGTGCCTCACGCCTTTACTCCCAGCACTTTGGGAAGCCAAGGCAGGATAATGGCTTGAGCCCAGGACTTTTGAGATCACCCTGAGTGACAGCAAGACCCTGTCTCGAAAAGAAAAAATATATACTCAAATACTTTTCATTTCTCAATTGCTTTTTTTTCTTCCAGACTCGCAAAACAGCTAGTTGGCTGGCAGCAGAGCTCTCAAAAGAAGGCCACCAGGTGGCTCTGCTGAGTGGGGAGATGATGGTGGAGCAGAGGGCTGCGGTGATTGAGCGCTTCCGAGAGGGCAAAGAGAAGGTTCTGGTGACCACCAATGTGTGTGCCCGCGGTGAGCAGAGGACGTGTCCCACCTGGTCTGCCAGGCTCGGGGTCCCAGGTCCAGTTAGAGCCAGAAATCCTTGTATACAGGGAAGTCAGATGGTCTCAGGGAGATTGGTGGGGTTGGTGACAATATTCCTTTCTAGGAGAGACTGTTTGGATTTCCCTCAGGTGATAAGAACTCACACATGCTGGGCACGGTGGCTCACACCTGCAATCCCAAGGCAGGAGAATTACTTGAACCCTGGAGATGGAGGTTGCAGTCAGCCGAGATTGTGCCATTGCACTCTATCCTGGGTGACAGAGTGAGAATCCGTCTCCAAAAAAAAAAACGAAGAGGCCAGGCACAGTGGCTCACACCTATAATCCCAGCACTTTGGGAGGCCGAGGTGGGCAAATCACCTGAGGTCAGGAATTTGAGACCAGCCTGACCTATATGATGAAACTCCATCTCTACTAAAAATACAAAAATTAGCCAGACGTGGTGGCATGCGCCTGTAATCCCAGCTACTCAGGAGGCTGAGACAGGAGAACTGCTTGAACCCAGGAGATGGAGGTTGCGGTGAGCAAGATCACGCCATTGCACTCCAGCCTGGGCAACAAGAGCGAAACTCCATCTCAAAAATTAAAAAAGAAAGAAAAAGAACTCTCACAGAAGCCCGGAGTCCTGACTTGGTGGAAGGAAATGTACAGGCATCTGAGTGGTAGAGAACGGAGCCTGCTCTTCCAGGGGCGCCCATCTCCAGAACATTGTGTCCCAGAGACACAACCTCCCTGATTGATTTCATGATTTTGTTGGCACCTGCCAAAGTTCTCTTCTTTTCCTCCGGGTTCTGCTGCCTGCCTATATGTGCCCTCTCTTGTACCCAATTCCCAGAGTTGGCCTGTCCCAAATTCTTTCCCTCTATCCAAAGTTGGTATGCATTGACCTACCTGTGGACAACAATGATTTCTGTCTCCTGTCCTTAGTCCTCTCAGCCTCCATCTCTCCTTCCCGCAGGCATCGATGTTGAACAAGTGTCTGTCGTCATCAACTTTGATCTTCCCGTGGACAAGGACGGGAACCCTGACAACGAGACCTACCTGCACCGGATCGGGCGCACAGGCCGCTTTGGCAAGAGGGGCCTGGCAGTGAACATGGTGGACAGCAAGCACAGCATGAACATCCTGAACAGAATCCAGGAGCATTTTAGTGAGTCCCGGGGAGGGTCCTGTGCCTGGCGCCCTTTACTAAGTGGGGCGGGGTGGGGAAAGGGGTAGGATCTTCTGTAGCCCTGAGAGAGGCTCTGTCCCTGGCACACTCCCCTCCTTTCTGACCATATGGCAGTTCTCAGGGCCACACCTGGAGACTTCAGGACCCAAGGACTCCAAGGACAGTTCCCCCATGACCGGGCTTCGGGGCGTGGGGCTCTGACTCTTGCTGTCAGTGACTAGGGGCCCTGCTGCCCCCTGCTCAGGCACCCGGAGCCTTTGGGGATGAATGAATGATTGCTGTGGCCCGGGGTGGGGCACATTCCTGGGCACGGTAGAGACCTGTGTATTTTTCCCCCAGATAAGAAGATAGAACGATTGGACACGGATGATTTGGATGAGATTGAGAAAATAGCCAACTGAGAAGCTCCACCAGCCACTGGTGCCAGCCCTGACACTGCCCCTGCACGGGAGACAAGTGCGTTCAGGGCACAGCCCCCGACATCACCCCAAGGACAACGGCATGAGTAGAGAGAAACTACCTACCTCACTTCAAATTATGTTTGGACTTGACAAAAATGTGTGCAAATGAGATAGAACGCATTGACACGGATGATTTGGATGAGATTGAGAAAATAGCCAACTGAGAAGCTCCACCAGCCACTGGTGCCAGCCCTGACACTGCCCCCTGTACCAGAGAAAGGGCAAGGTTGGGAGGCTGCCCACTTCGAAACATCGTCTTCCAATAAGGGACATCGTGCAAAAATGAAAGAGGTGGAAAGAAACTTACTGTTTCAGCCCCCTCACTTCAAATTATGTTTGGACTTGACAAAAATGTGTGCAAATGACGGGGGGCAGTAGAAGGGAAAATTTGCATTTTGGAAAATTGGGTCCTTTCCCCACTTTTTTAAAAGCCACATTTCCCCCATCTTTATAATAATCTGGTCACATTGGCAGTCACTGGCCCCAAGACCCCCTTCAGATTTTAGCGAGGCATCGTGGAACCAGCTCCGGCCCCTGAAGAAACGGTAGACATGCAGGTTGTGCGGAGGAGGCTGAGTGGAAAATGGTGTGAGCCTCACCGCCATGGATTGAACGAGGGAAGCGGCAGCAGTGGAGGCCAGAGCTGCCCCCTCCCTGTCCCTTCACTGGACCCTTCACATGTGTTTCTCTTGCCCTTGGGCCGTCTTCCTTCCGAGATCCAGAGACTTTCTTGCTCATCCCTTCTCCCTTTTACTTCTGTTCTCTGCTGCAGAAAGTAGTCTTGCGTACCCCTGATGAGCAGCTCAGCTCCTTTGTAAACTTCAGATTTGGAGAGAAACATGGTAGTCAGTGAATCCTGACCTCTTGAGAGAGAGTGACCTGGCAAGGGCCAATGAAGGGGCTGGGCCTGGGCTTGGCTTCTCTTCCTTCTCTCAGTTGCTCCCTCTGCTTAGGCCCCTGGTACTCAGTTGTGGCAGCCGGGAGACCCCAGGTGAGTTTGTGAGCACATACGTAGTTGGTTCTTACCCCCGGGTGTCACACTAGGCCAGGAGCTGAGCAAGAGTTTGGAACGGAAGTTATGACCAAGGGAATACTCTGATTATGCTGCTCATTTATAATAGTGGACATTATGAAGAGCTCTGATTCCTACATAATATGAATAGGGATGAATAGGCCGGGCGTGGTGGCTCATGCCTGTAATCCCAGCACTTTGGGAGGCTGAGGCGGGTGGATCGGTTGAGCTCAGGAGTTCGGGACCAGCCTGGCCAACATGATGAAACCCCGTCTCTACCAAAGATAGAAAAAATGTAGCTGGGCGTGGTGGCGCACGCCTGTAGTCCCAGCTACTTGGGAGGCTGAGGTAGGAGGATCGCTGAAGCCTGGGTAGAGGCTGCTGTGAACTGAAATGGCGCCACTGCACTCCAGCCTGGGTAAGAGTGAGACCCTGACTCAATAAATAAATAAGGATGGATAAATTATAGCTGTATGCATCATTCATTATGCTAAGACATTTTAAAGTAATTATGAGAAATGCTCTACTAATCATGATTTGTTTTTATTTGTATTTTTCCGCTTATTAGACAAATATATACTCATTTTAAAAAGGCGTGTGTGTATATAAAGTGAGAGTGCTCTCTATCCCTACTCCTCTGGGATCCTGATTCCTGGCAACTTGGTGAATATTCTACCATATTGCCTTTTATTTGCATAAACCCATTTTTCTTTTACAAAAATGGGAACATTCTATTCACACTACTGTGCAACCTGCTTTCACTGATCAGCATGTGTTAGACATGTTGAAGGTCCAATACACACATATCTTCCTTGCCCTGGAAACACCATCCACCGTCCTTTCAGCATGTAGCTGTCCCAGCATTTATCTCCTGGTTCCTCTAGTGACAGGCATGGGGGATTTCCAGTACATGGCTGTTACCCACATTACTACAGTGAACGGTTTTTTTTTATTTTTTTTTTGAGACAGAGTGTCACTCTGGCCTGGAGTGCAGTGGCGTGATCTTGGCCCACTACAACCTCTGCTCCCAGCTTCAAGCAATTCTCTTGCCTTAGCCTCCCAAGTAGCTGGGATTACAGGCGTATGCCACCATGCCCGGCTAATTTTTATATTTTCAGTAGAGATGGGGTTTCGCCATGTTGGCCAGGCTGGTCTCGAACTGACCTCAAATGATCTGCCTGCCTCTCTTGGCCTCCCAAAGTGCTAGGATTATAGGTGTGTGCCATCACGCCCGGCTGAACATCTTTTTCTTTTTTTTTCTTTTTTTTTTTTTTTTTTGAGACGGAGTCTCTCTCTCGCCCAGGCTGGAATGCCGTGCTGTGATCTTGGCTCACTGCAACCTCCACCTCCCAGGTTCAAGCCATTCTCCTTCCTTAGCCTCCTGAGTAGCTGGGATTGCAGGTGCCCGCCACCACGCCCGGGTAATTTTTGTATTTTTAGTAGAGACGGGGTTTCACCATGTTGGTCAGACTGGTATCAAGCTCCTGACCTCGGGATCCGCCCACCTCAGTCTCCAAAAGTGCTGGGATTACAGGTGTGAGCTACTGCGCCTGGCCTGAACATCTTTTTTAAAAAGATTTATTTTTGTATAGATGGAGCCTCACTATGTTACCCAGTCCACTCTCAAACTACTGGGCTCAAGCGATCCTCCTGCCTCAACCTCCCAAGTAGTTGGGATTGTAGGCATGAGCCCTTAACCCAAACTGAACTTTGTTTTTTGTTTTTTTTTTTGAGACCAGCTCTCACTTTTGTCACCCAGGCTGGAATACAGTGACATGATCTCAGTTCACTGCAACCTCAACCTAGTCTCAAGTGACCCTCCTGCCTCACCCCTCCAAGTAGATGGGACTTTAGGCCTGCACCACCACACCCGGCTAATTTTTGTAGAGATGGGGTCTTACCATGTTGTCCAGGCTGGTTTTGAACTCCTGAGCTTAAGCAGTCTGCCCACCTGGGCCTCCCAAAGTGCTGGGATTACAGGCATGAGCCACCGTGCCCAACCTCTTATTTTTGAGCGCTTGGTGAAAATCACTTCAGGCTATTATTCCTGGAAGTAGAATTGTTGGGTCAAAGAGTAGGGACATTTAAAATTTTAATTCATTGCCATTTACACTTGTCAAAAGGTTTTTAGCAATTTATGTTACTGTGATACAAAAATACATATTATCTTACATGGTTGCCAACACTATAATCAATGTTTAAAACTGCCAACAGATTATGTCATTGTTTTTTCGATTTTGACTTAGTGAGGCTTGGCAAATATTCAGTTTCTTGGAAAATCTTTTCTGTTGGGGAGCTGCCCATTCTTGTCTCACTACTTTATTATTACTATTATTATTATTATGAGACGGAGTTTTGCTCTCGTTGCCTGGGCTGGAGTGCAGTGGTGCGATTTTGGCTCACTACAACCTCTGTCTCTCCGGCTCAAGCGATTCTCCTGCCTCAGTCTCCCAAGTAACTGGGATTACAGGCGTTTGCCACCACGCTGGGCTAATTTTGTATTTTTAGTAGAGTTGGGGTTTCACCATGTTGACCAGGCTGGTCTCAAACTCCTGACCTCATGACCCACCCACCTCAGCCTCCCAAAGTGCTGGGGTTACAGGCGTGAGCCACCGTGTCCGGCCTAAGTGTACTCAAGCCTTAGTTAAGGTTTATTTCTATTTATAGCAAAGATAGCTGAGATATCAGACTCTTCCCTTTCATGGTCTCCAGTGCGGTGCCTGTGGTAACAGCGTTTCACAGGAAGCACTGCGGAGACGCAGCCCAGGGGACTGCCATGGCCCCACAAGGGGGCAGCGTCTCTTCCCTCTCTGGTCCCCTTTACCCATTCCATGACAAATGGTGGGCACAAAAAAGATATTGCAGGAAGGCCCTCCGTGATTCACTTCATATGTTTATGTATTGGTTGAATTATTTTTGTAATTTTAAAAAAGGAAAGGCAAAGTCATTTTATAGGGAGGCCGGATGGAACTGGGCGCCCTGAGTGCAGATGCCATATGTTTCTTCTGCTTCACAGGCTTCCCCCGGAGAGAAGCAGGCTGCCAGAGAGCCTGTGCTGTTCTCAGCAGCACAAACAGTTGCTAGAGGAAAGATGTTAATTCCACACTCTGAGGACCAGGCTGGCCCACATACATACTGCTCCGCAGCCTCACAGAGGCGGGGGAGGGGGACGTCCTTTGGATTTTGTGGGTTGGTTGTTACCCAGCCATAGACTTGCTGCAGGAGCTGTGATTTTTTTCACAAGAGTAGTGAGAAGGCGCATTGATTCTTAATTCACACTCAAAAGGGAATACTTTCATTTTTAAAAATATAGTTTCAGTATTTTACCTTCCCTTCGCCTCACAAGGAATGATGCGTCTGACCTTGCCAGTCACAGAAGGTACTTCCTTGTCTGCTGCCTGTGGATAGGTAAAATACCTTTTTTTTTTTTTGAGATGGAGTCTTACTCTGTTGCTCAGGCTGGAGTGCAGTGGCTCGATCTCAGCTCACCACAACCTATACCTCCCAGGTTCAAGCAATTCTCTGCCTCAGTCTCCCAAGTAGCTGGGATCACAGCCGCCCGCCACCACGCCCGGCTAATTTTTTTGTGTTTTTAGTAGAGATGGGGTTTCACCATCTTGGCCAGGGTGGTCTTGAACTCCTGACCTCGTGATCCACCCACCTCAGCCTCCCAAAATGCTGGGATTACAGACATAAGCCACTGTCCCTGGCCATAAAATATTTTTAAAAAATTTTTGCAGCCGGGCTCCAGTTGCTCTGGAAACTGAGGTGGGAGGATCACTTGAATCCAGTTTTTGAGGCTGCAGTGAGCTCTGCACCAGTCTGGGTGACAGGAGACCCTGTCTCTTAAAAAAAAAAAAAAAAAGGCCCGGGCGCAGTGGCTCACGCCTGTAATCCCAACACTTTGGGAGGCTGACACGGGCAGATGACGAGGTCAGAAGATCGAGACCATCCTGGTGAACATGGTCTCTACTAAAAAATACAAAAAAATTAGCCGGGTGTCGTGGCAGGCGCCTGTAGTCCCAGCTACTGAGACTGGGAGGCTGAGGCAGGAGAATGGTGTGAACCCGGGAGGCGGAGCTTTACAATCAGCCGAGATTCCCGCCACTGCACTCCAGCCTGGGCGACAGTGAGAATCAGTCTCAAAAAAAAAAAAAAAAAAAAAAAGTGGCCAGTCACAGTGGCTCACGCCTGTAATCCCAGCACTTTGGGAGGCCGAGGCGGGCAGATCACCAGAGGTCTGGAGTTCAAGACCAGCCTGACCAACATGGAGAAAATCTGTCTCTACTAAAAATATACAATTAGCTGAGTATGGTGGTGCTTGCCTGTAATCCCAGCTACTCGGGAGGCTGAAGCAGGAGAACCACTTGAACCCGGGAGGTGGAGGTTGGGATGAGCCGAGATCGGGCCATTGCACTCCAGCTTGGGCGACTAGAGTGAAACCCCATCTCAAATTAAAAAAAAAGAAAAAGAAAAATTACAAACATGCATGCATTCATGAGAGGGCACCGGCATCTCTGAAAACCTCAGTGGTGGCTGTCCTCAGAGAGAGGTGACAGTGGGGTACGCTGCACTAGAACCACTTCCTTGGTATCCTTGCTGGGTCAAAACAACACAGTGCTTGGCCAACAGGAAATTTTAAAAAGATGAGATTATGTGGGACTCTGTATTCTGGAGGTCTGGCACTTGGTGTGCTCGCTGACCAATCGCAGCATAAGGCAGTCAGTTTTAAGGGATATGCAGGACAAGAAACAGATCTTAGCAGGTTCATAGACAGGCTGTGGTACACACTGTCTTCCACTGGGCCTTTAGACTCAGCTGGGGCCAGGCACAGTGGCTCACACCTGTAATCCCAGCACTTTAGGAGGCTGAGGCGAGTGGATCACCTGAGGTCAGGAGTCTGAGACCAGCTTGGCCAGCATGGCGAAACCCTGTCTCTACTACACTTGATCTTAGCCAAAAGCCGAGAAGCGATCCCTGTCTCTACTAAAAAGTACAAAAATTAGCCAGGCATGGTGGCAGGCGCCTGTAATCCCAGCTACTCAGGAGGCTGAGGAGAATCACTTGAACCTGGGAGATGGAAGTTGCAGTGAGCCGAGATAGCACCACTGCACTCCAGCCTGGGCAACAGAGCAAGACTCTTGTCTCAATAAATAAATAAATCAAATAAATAAAAATGCGGGTTGCCTGTGGCATGGTGGAAATTGGGCTGTGGAGGCAGGGCTGTGCCAGAGGGGCAAACCGGACTTAGATGCACTTCCCTGAGAGGTGGGGACAGCCCAGCCTGTGGCCACCCAGATGCATCGGAGCCTGATAGAGGCCAAAGTGGTTACAGGACAGCCACTGCAAGGAGATGCTACCAGAATTCTTTCCAATGAGTTCCTCTCTTGGAGGGAACTCAAGAGGCGACAATGAGCTGATTTTTAACCAAAATGCTTGTACCCGCTCAGACTTCAGTGTCTTGGAGAGCAGAGTCCAGGAATGAGGTGCCTGTTGTATGAGGGGGCGGGGAGGGTGTCTGGAAGTCATCTCGCTCCTCCCATATCCCCCAGCGTTCTCAGCTATTATCAGTCACAGCTACCCTATGAGAGCTGCCTTCTTCCCACTATCATGCCCATTTCAGAACAATGAAGGACTAGACAGTTTTTTGCTCCTTTTAATTCAGAACGAGAAAGGGAAGGAAATAAACAAGTTTGTTTAAATTACTATTGCAGAAAAGATCTGGCTGGATGCTGGGACCTACCTCTTCCAGGATGGGGATTCATGATTAATTTTTTTTTGAGACAGGGTCTTGCTCTGTCACCCAGGCTGGAGTGCAGTGGCACAATCTCGGCTCACTTCAACCTTCGCCTCCCGGGTTCAAGGGATTCTCCTGCCTTAGCCTTCCAAGTAGCTGGGATTACAGGAACGCACCACCGCGCCTGGCTAATTTGTGTGTGTGTGTGTGTGTGTGTGTGTATATATATATATGGATTCACTTGGACATATATATGGTTTTTTTTTTTTTTTTTTTTGTAGAGACGGGGTTTCACCATGTTGGCCAGGCTGATCTGGAACTCCTGACCTTAGTATTAAGTACTCCACCCGCCTCGGCCTCCCAAAGTGCTGGGAAGACAGGTGTGAGCCACCATGCCTGGCGGGATTCATGATTTAAAGCAAAAGCAAAAGCAAAAAGAAATAAATTATTCTGCTCAATACTGTTTGGCATAACTGCATTTTCATCTTTTCAACACTCAAAACAGCCTCTTCAGGAAGCATTGAGATGGGAGTGACAAGATTGGCTGGGGCCTAGCTCTCTAAAATGGTGGGGGAGGGGGGGCGCCCTGAGAGAGGCATTCTAGCCTCACCCCAATCACCCCTATTTTTACTCTCCCTACTTTCGGAATTGGAAAGAACGACACTCAAGCTAGGTTCGAATATATTAACTTTCAGGGCCCACTGCCCATCCCAACCCTCCCCTAACAAAGTCCCCTGCCGGTCCCTGTTCCCCCAGCCAGGTGCAGGAACCTACCAACAGCCAGGAGGCTGCCTGGTGGTGTCAACTAAAAAGAGGGAGCATCTGCGCCATCACTGTTGGGGAGGGGGCTCTATTAGTGGTTTGAGAGCTTCACAGAAGCCTTCCCCCTCCTAAACCTCCCCAGCCTCCAAGGGGGAGAATTCCACCAGCAGCCCCGCTAGGAACCTAAGCTGGGTTCAGCCATGCAAGCAGCTTCCAGGTGGAACCCCGGCCGCGAGCTTCCCAGCCCTTCTGAAGTGGGAGATGGAGAGCACGGTGGAAGGAGGCGGCCTGCAGCGTGTAAGTCTCCTCTTCCCCGGCCGGCTCCGGGCTGCCGGCTCTGCCAGCTCAGAATTTGCAGAGAATCTGCAGGTCGGCCACCCTCGGCAGCTTCAGCTTAACCAAAGTATCAGCCCCAGGCTAACTCTTCCCCAGGCAAGAGGCTATGGGTGGAGGAGGAGGTGCATGCAACAGGCAGCTGGGCCCATCGCCAGCCTCCTTCCGCCGTGCAGCCCCCTCCCGGGGGCCCGCCGAAAAGGGGGGGGGGGGGGGGGGGGGGGGCGTAGGGATGGAATCGGGGACTGTGGACTTTTTCCAGAGCAACAGGCTGGTGAGGCGGCCCCGGGCCCAGGGAGAGGCGCTGAGAAGGCTGCGGGTGAACGGGAGGGCAGAGGGCACACGTGAGAGCACCTTGCACTGGAGGGACAGGGCTTCCTCGAGCCCTGCCGTCCCCTCCACCTGTCCGGAGTTCGGCCTGGGAGCACCCCACCCCGCAGGGGACGCCACTCCCGGCTTCCTGGAGACGCAGGCGGCCCTGGGGGCGCGGCCGTCCCAAAGCGAGGCCGAGGTGGGACTAGGGGTCCCGAACCCTGGGCCCCGCAGCGACCGCTTTTCTTTGGTGGGTCTGCACGCACCCATCCGGGCAGGCGGGGAAAGGGGCCGGGCGGCCACCTCTCCTGACGCCCGCAGCAACTGCCCGTTCTCCTCCGGGTCTGGCCAGCGATGGAAACGCTCCTCTGGCCGAGCCTCAGGGAAGTGCTTCGCCGAGGCCTGCGCCATGCTCTCCTCCTCAGAAAGCGTGAAAGAAAACCCTAACCCAAAGCATGAGGGAGTGGGAATTGAGCGGCCGCCGGCCCGCCCCCGAAGGCCATTGATTGGAGGAGACTGGACACAGCGCCAGTTCTCCTTGAGTCGCATGATTGGCTGGGAGACACAGAAGCTCCGCCCGACCGCAGGGCAGATTAGTGCCAGGCCCCGCCGGTCCCCAGAGTCTCGTGATTGGCGGGGCGCAGCGGACGCCCCCTGGGCTGCAGCATGATTGGTCCTGGGTTGCGGGTCCCGGGTCCCTGGTCAGAGCGCCGGCACCTAACAGATGGGCCGAGAGGGTCGCGGTGAGGCCCGGCTCAGTTGCCCCGGTAGACTTCGATCTTGCTGGCCTTGGCCAGCATATCGATGATATGGGCCTCGAAGTCCGCGTCGTGCACGCCAGTCTTCCGGAACTCGCCCGCGTACCGGTTGTTCTCCCAGTAGTGGTGCCAGTTGCCCCGGCTGTCGGCCCCGAACCCGTACACGTTCACCTGCGGGGAAGCGCAGCGCAGCGTCACCCCCGGCGGTGACCCAGAGGACGGCGCGGGGCGGGCTTGGGATGACAGAGAGGAGAGGGGAGCGGGAGGCTCCAGGGAGATGCGGGAGCCCCCAGGCCTGGCCTAAGAACATGGACTCACATGGGGACACCACCTTCCCTTTGCAGTTGTCCTTCCTCTGCAGCCCTTGCTAATTCCTTTTTTTTTTTTTTTTTTTTTTCTTTTTAAATGGATTACTTTGATCAGCACCACTCAATGAAGCACTTGCAACGTGGGCGTGCTGGGCCTCAGCTCTTGCTCTTCGTGGCAGGGCAACCCTGGTCACCGGTGGAACCGATTCTCTGAACGACTAAGCTCCATTTTTACACGAAGTAAGCCTGGGGCTCAGAGCTGGTGGGGGCAGCCGTCCAGATGGAATTCAACTACATACACTCTCCATTCTATTTATGTTTTGTTGTTTTCTTTTTCAAGCCGGCGTCTCATTCAGTCACCCAGGCTAGAGTAAAATGCCGCTATCTCGGCTCACTGCAACCTACACCTCCTGGGTTCAAGTGATTCTCCTGCCTCAGCCTCCCGAGCAGCTGAGATTACAGGCGTGCCCCACCACGCCTGGCTAATTTTTTGTATTTTTACTAGAGATGGGGCTTCACCATGTTGGCCAGTTTGGTCTTGAACTCTTGACCTCAAGTAATCCGCCCACCTCAGCCTCCCAAAGTGCTGGGATTACAGGCATCAGCCACCACAGGGTCAATAACTTAACTTTTTAATGAAGAGATTTTGGATTTAGTAGAATCATGAAAGCAGAAACATTTGGGAAAGGCATAGCTATACTTTATAGCCTAGAGATGGGGAAAACCAAGGCCACGTGAATTCTGCCTACAGAAGCACATTCCTCTGTTAGCCTACTAAGACCTGAGAAGGCCTGCACTCCTCTGTTCCATGGGTTCCCACCACCCACACGACGGGCCTACCCACCTCATCACACACATGCAGGGCAAAGAAGAGCACCAGCATCCCCGTGGAAGGGTACCGCCCATGATGCTCTGTCCACCGGTCATGGATATACTTGAAGAAGGCTGGGTTGTAGATCTGGACCTGGGAGGAGAAGAGATGACAGGTATATGAGGGGTTTAGGGGCAGAGATTCAGGCTAGACTGAGCGGCTTCTACTTGTCTATGCCTGTCAGCAGACCTGTGCATGTGTCTCCTGAATTGTGTGGCACCTGCTGGGGTCAGGCATCTGGGCAGATGGGGACCCTGAGGTTCTGCAGGGGAACTGGAACATCTGAGCTACAGGACCAGGTGCACAGGCTGGGCCAGCACTGTTTCCACTGAGGTGGGGATGAAGTGGGGAGCTTACCTTTTCTTTATCCACTCGAAGGAAGGACTTCACTGGGGCGTAGGTGCTGTAAGCAAATAGAAAGAAAAGTAACATTTCAGGCCGGGCGCTCATGCCTATAATCCCAGCACTTTGGGAGGCTGAGGCAGGCGGATCACAAGGTCAGGAGATCGAGACCATCCTGGCTAACACAGTGAAACCCCGTCTCTACTAAAAAATACAAAAAATTAGCCGGGCATGGTGGCGGGCGCCTGTAGTCCCAGCTAGTCGGGAGGCTGAGGCAGGAGAATGGCGTGAACCCGGGAGGTGGAGCTGCATTGCAGTGAGCCGAGATCGCGCTACTGCACTCCAGCCTGGGCGACAGAGCGAGACTCCATCTCAAAAAAAAAAAAAAACACAAAAATTAGCTGGGCGTGGTGGCCCATGCCTGTAGTCCTAGCTACTGGTGAGGCTGAGGCATGACAATTGCTTGAATCTGGGAGGCAAAGGTTGCAGTGAGCCGAGATCATGCCATTGCACTATAGCCTGGGCAACAGAGCAAGACTCAGGCTCAAAAACAAACAGGCCGGGCACAGTGGCTCATGCCTGTAATCCCAGCACTTTGGGAGGCTGAGGCGGGCGGATCACGAGGTCAGGAGATACAGACCATCCTAGCTAACATGGTGAAACCCTGTCTCTACTAAAAATACAAAAAATCAGCTGGGCGTGGTGGTGCTTGCCTGTACTCTCAGCTACGTGGGAGGCTGAGACAGGAGAATCGCTTGAACCCAGGAGGTGGAGGTTGCAGTGAGCCGAGATGGCACCACTGCACTCCAGACTGCACGACAGAGTGAGACTCCATCTCCAAAAACAAACAAACAAACAAACAAGAATAGTTAAATCAGAGAGACAGAAAGTAGAATAAGGTTACCTGGGGTTGAGAGGAAAATGGAGAGTTAGTGTTTAATGTGTACAGTTTCCATTTGGGATGATGAAAACGTTCTAGAAATGGAGACTGGTGATGGCTATACAATAATGTGAATATACTTAACGTTACTGAGCTTTACACTTAAAAATACTTAAAATGGTAAATGTTATATTGTGTATATTTTACCACAAAACAAAAATATATGGTGAGACAGAGTGGATTAATGGTTGCCTAGGGCTGGGGTGGGAGGGAGGAGTGGGGAGTGATGGCTTAGGGACCCAGGGGTATCTTCAGATTTTTATCTTTAGATTAAAGACCCTTAGAACATGAAAACGGTCTTTTTTTTTTTTTTTTTTTTTTTTTTTAGGCAGAGCCTCGCTTTGTTGCCCAGGCTGGAGTGCAGTGGCACAATCCGAGCACAACGCAACCTCTGCCTCCCAGGTTCAAGCGATCCAATCCTCCCACCTCATTCTCAAGTGGCTAGGACTACAGGAGCGTGCCACCATGTCTGGCTAATTTTTGTATTTTTTGTAGAGACAGTTTCGCCATGTTGCCCAAGGTGGTCTTGAACTCGGACTCAAACAATCCCCCCTCCTTGGCCTCCTAGAGTGCTGGGATTACAGGTGTGAGCCACTGCATCCAGCAGAACATGAAAATGTTTTTTTGTTTTTTTGTTTTTTTTGTTTTTTTTTTTGAGACGGAGTCTCTGTTGTCAGGCTGGAGTGCAGTGGCACAATCTCATCTCACTGTAACTTCTGCCTCCCGGGTTCGAGCGATTCTCCTGCCTCAGCCTCCTGAGTAGCTGGGACTACAGGCGCCTGCCACCACACCCAGCTATTTTTTATATTTTTAGTAGAGACAGGGTTTCACCATGTTGCCCAGGATGGTCTCAATCTCTTGACCTTGTGATCTGCCTGCATCAGCCTCCCAAAGTGCTGAGATTACAGGTGTGAGCCACCGCACCCGGCCAAAAAATTTATTTTATTTTTTTTGAGACAGAGTTTTGCTCTTGTTGCCCAGGCTGGAGTGCAGTGGCGTGATCTCGGCTCACTGCAACCTCCACCTCCCGAGCTCAAGCGATTCTCCTTTCTCAGCCTCCTGAGTAGCTGGGATTACAGGTGCATGCCATCACGCCCGGGTAATTTTTGAATTTTTAGTAGAGACGAGGTTTCATCATGTGGGCCAGGCTGGTCTCGAACTCCTGACCTCGTAATCCACCTGCCTCGGTATTTTTAGTAGAGACGGGGTTTCACCATGTTGGCCAGGATGGTCTCGATCTCTTTTTTTTTTTTTTTTTTTTGAGACGGAGTCTCGCTCTGTTGCCCAGGCTGGAGTGCAGTGGCCGGATCTCAGCTCACTGCAAGCTCTGACTCCCGGGTTTATGCCATTCTCCTGCCTCAGCCTCCCGAGTAGCTGGGACTACAGGCGCCTGCCACCTCGCCCGGCTAGTTTTTTTGTATTTTTTAGTAGAGATGGGGTTTCACCATATTAGCCAGGATGGTCTCGATCTCCTGACCTCGTGATCCACCCGTCTCGGCCTCCCAAAGTGCTAGGATTACAGGCTTGAGCCACCGTGCCCGGCCGGTCTCGATCTCTTGACCTCGTGATCTGCCTGCGTCAGCCTCCCAAGGTGCTGGGATTACAGGTATGAGCCACAGTGCCCAGCCATGAAAATGTTTTAAAATTAATTGTGGGGCTGGGTGTGGTGGCTCATGCCCTGTAATCCCAGCACTTTGGGAGGCTGAGGTGAGCAGATCATCTGAGGTCAGGAGTTCGAGACCAGCCTGGCCAACATGACGAAACCCCATCTCTACTAAAAATACAAAAATTAGCCAGGTCCATGGTGACATATGCCTGTAATCCCAGCGACGTGGGAGGCCGAGGCAGGAGAATCGCTTGAACCTGGGAGACAGATGTTACAGTGAGCTGAGATTGTGCCACTGCACTCCAGTCTGGGCAACAGAGTGAGACTCTGTTTTTTTTAAAAAAAAAAAAAGTAATTGTGGGCCGGATGTGATGGCTCATGCCTGTAATCTCAACACACTGGGAGCCTGAGATAGGTGGATCACCTGATGTCAGGAGTTTGAGACCAGCCTGGCCAACATGGCAAAACACCGTATCTACTAAAAACATAAAAATCAGCCAGGCACGGTGGCATGTACTTCCAGCTACTCAGGAAGCTGAGGCACAAGAATCCCTTAAACCCAGGAGGTAGAGGTTGCAGTGAGCCAAGATTGCGCCACTGCACTCCAGCCTGGGTGATAGACTCAGACTCCATCTCAAAAAAATAATTAAAATTAAAAATTAAAATTAACTGTAGCTGTGGTTATACAACTCTGAATATATAAGAAGTTACCGGATTATACACATTAAATAGGTGAGATGTATGGGATGTGAATC